TTCTGTGCATGGCCCTTTAAGGGTTTTTCTGTGGTTTGAAGAGCCATGCACAGGATGGTATATATTGCTTTTCTGCATATATTTATGTTTTTATATTTATATTTTTTTTGTGGGTGATTTTGAAGGAGAACGGTATTGTGCTGATTCAAACCTGCAGGGTATATATATTTAGCTTTTTTGTTTATATAATAGAGTATATGTATAATTAAATTGGGAAACACCTGTTCTAGCCGGCGTGATTAAGGAGACTAGGAACGCAGTGATTGGCTGGGTGTTAAAAACTATGTAGATGAAGAGTGGTATTTATAAGAGCTGTCTGACGTTCCCATCTGTACCGCCCCCTTGATGACGTCGGTGTGACGAAACCGGTCGGGCGTAGCCTATTTGATGTGGACGTTAGAGAGCCTTGCTGGTCTGTGCTGTATGGGAGAGATCCGCGGTGAGCGGTAACTGTATCTCAACCCTTTTTTGCGATTGAAGCTGGTGTCTGTTGGACACCTTGTTTGTGAGTTTCCTTATACCTTTTTTATTAAAGAGATAAATGAAAAAAACGTATTGCACCATTATGTTCTCTTTTTTGTCCCTGAGTGTACTGCATGCTCTCATGGAGGTATGAGAAAGAGTGGAGAAGTTCATCATAAGAGCTTGGGCTGCAAAGTTGTTTGGCTGTGATTATTATCTGGAAGTATCTGAAACATCACCATATCTATTTGGACATCGGGGTCATTGCTCCCAGAGCACAAGCGCTGCTGCTGGTTTATAATCTGACCAGCCAATAGCTCTGGTGAGTTTATTTAATCTCCTTTGGTGGTGGATTTCTCACAATTGGTTCAAGTCACTGAAGATATATATACTTTTTGGACACTAATTTATGTTTGGACACTATAATTTATTTAAAACACTAATGTTTTTTGGATGATGATATACACTTTTGTATAAGTTTGTTATTAGCGCATACCTTTTAATTTGGACAGTGAATGCAGGGTCTGGGGAGAGCGGATATAGTGAATGCAGGGTCCGGGGAGAGTGGATATAGTGAATGCGGGGTCCGGGGGGAGCGGATATAGTGAATGCAGGGTCCGGGGAGACCGGATATAGTGAATGCAGGGTCCGGGAGAGCAGATATTATGAATGCAGGGTCCGGGGAGAGCAGATATAGTGAATGCAGGGTCTGGGGAGAGCAGATATAGTGAATGCAGGGTCCGGGGAGAGCAGATATAGTGAATGCGGGGTCCAGGGAGATCGGATATAGTGAATGCGGGGTCCGGGAAGAGTGGATATAGTGAATGCGGGGTCCGGGGAGATCGGATATAGTGAATGCGGGGTCCGGGGAGATCGGATATAGTGAATGCAGTGTCCGGGGAGAGCGGATATAGTGAATGCGGGGTCCGGGGAGATCGGATATATGGAATGCGGGGTCCAGGGAGAGCAGATATTATGAATGCAGGGTACGGGGAAAGCGGATATAGTGAATGCGGGGTCCGGGGAGAGCAGATATAGTGAATGCGGGGTCCAGGGAGACCAGATATAGTGAATGCGGGGTCCGGGGAGATCGGATATAGTGAATGCAGGGTCCGGGGAGAGCGGACATAGTGAATGCGGGGTTCGGGGAGAGCAGATATAGTGAATGCAGAGTCCGGGGAGATTGGATATAGTGAATGCGGGGTCCGGGGAGATCGGATATAGTGAATGCGGGGTCCAGGGAGAGCGGATATAGTGAATGCGGGGTCCAGGGAGAGCGGATATAGTGAATGCGGGGTCCAGGGAGAGCAGTTATAATGAATGCGGGGTCCAGGGAGAGCAGTTATAATGAATGCAGGGTCTGAGGTTTAGTAATACTTTAATGTCTACTTTACATCTGAACACTGAGACAGACAGTGTCATTTTGGCAGCATCTTCTGCTGGATCTGCCCTCTGTATACACCACCTCCTTCCTTGATTAATCAGAGCCAAGAATTGCTGTGGAGTGGGTGGAGAGGTTGCGGCAAAGCGGCAGTTGGACTGTACATGCCACACACGTCCAGTGTATTATGATGACGCTTTTTTTTTGGACGTGTGTGGCAAATCCAGTGTCCTCAACCTGGTAAGTGATTCGGTCCAATAGCATTCACCTAAAAATGAATATTCTTTCTGTGTGAACGTTTACAAAAAGAGAACATGACCAGGAATCGTTGATCATATAATGTGTCTATTATTGCAGCTCCGTCAGTTCTTGGCTACAAAGCTAACAATCACTTTGTGGATAGACATCGGGAGGCTCTGATCAGCCGGGTATCCCCAGTGGACCCATTCTGGACAGTCTGATGAGTGAAAACCTGCTGAGCGATGAACAGTATGCTAACATCCGCAGCAAGGAGACCAGTCAGGAGCAGATGAGAGAGCTGCTGAAGTACACCAGGGGGATGACTGATGCCGACAAGGACAAGGTCTATGAAGCTGTGAAGAAACACAATGGTCCTCAAATCCAGGACTTGGCTCTACAGAGAGGTGCAATGTTCTGTCATTTGGAAAAGGAAACCCAGTAAAACAAAGGATGCGTTTCTTTAAAATAATAATACAAAGTATCACAACATCCGCATTGTTTAATTTGGTGGGATTTGATCACCTCGGGGTTTTTATTTTTTTTTGTATTATAAACAAAAAAAAGACCAAAAACTGTGAAAAAAACTGTTTTCTTATTTCTGTTATAAAAAATATCCAATAAACTCACATTTTGTCATACATTTAGGTCAAAAAGTATTCTGCTCCATGTCTTTGGTAAAAAAAAAATCCCAATAAGTGTATAATCATTGGTTTACCTGAACGTTATAGCATCTGCAAACTATGGTATGGATCAGTGGTCCCCAAACTGCGGCCCAGGGGCCAGATGCGGCCCTTTGTTTGCCTGTATTCGGCCCTTGAGGAATTATTTCTTTCACTGACAGCAACAATGGGTCTATAATTCCTGCCACTGACTCCAATAAGGCACTATTCCTTCCACTGACACCAATGATGGGGCACTATTCCTCCACTGATACCAATGATGGGGCACTATTCCTCCCACTGACACCAATGATGGGGCACTATTCCTCCCACTGACACCAATGATGGGGCACTATTCCTCCCACTGATACCAATGATGGGGCACTATTCCTCCCACTGATACCAATGATGGGGCACTATTCCTCCCACTGACACCAATGATGGGGCACTATTCCTCCCACTGATACCAATGATGGGGCACTATTCCTCCCACTGACACCAGTGATGGGGCACTATTCCTCCCACTGACACCAGTGATGGGGGCACTATTCCTCCCACTGACACCAATGATGGGACACTATTCCTCCCACTGATACCATTGATGGGGCACTATTCCTCCCACTGACACCAATGATGGGCACTATTTCTTCCACTAATACCAATGATGGGGCACTATTCCTCCCACTGACACCAATGATGGGCACTATTTCTTCCACTAATACCAATGATGGGGCACTATTCCTCCCACTGACACCAATGATGGGGCACTATTCCTCCCACTGACACCAATGATGAGGCACTATTCCTCCCACTGATACCAATGATGGGGCATTATTCCTTCCACTAATACCAATGATGGGGCACTATTCCTCCCACTGATACCAATGATGGGGCACTATTCCTCCCACTGACACCAATGATGGGGCACTATTCCTCCCACTGACACCAATGATGGGCACTATTTCTTCCACTAATACCAATGATGGGGCATTATTCCTCCCACTGACACCAATCATGGGGCACTATTCCTCCCACTGACACCAATGATGGGACACTATTCCTCCCACTGATACCAATGATGGGACACTATTCCTCCCACTGATACCAATGATGGGGTACTATTCCTCCCACTGACACCAATGATGGGGCACTATTCCTCCCACTGACACCAATGATGGGGCACTATTCCTCCCACTGACACCAATGATGGGGCACTATTCCTCCCACTGATACCAATGATGGGGCACTATTCCCCCCACTGATACCAATGATGGGGCACTATTCCTCCCACTGACACCAATGATGGAGCACTATTCCTCCCACTGATACCAATGATGGAGCACTATTCCTCCCACTGACACCAATGATGGAGCATTATTCCTCCCACTGATACCAATGATGGAGCACTATTCCTCCCACTGACAACAATAAGGCATTACTCCTTCCACTGACACCAATGGGGAACTATTCCCCCCCACTGACACCAACGATGGGGCACTACCGCCCCCCGACACCAATGATGGGGCACTATTGTCATGAATAGCAATCAATAAAACATTAATCACAGCAGCGCTCCACACTTTAAAAGTTTTAAAGTCTTCCACCAATTGGTAATAAAAAGTGCACCAAATAGGGAGATGTTTTCCTGTGGGTTAAATAGCTCCCAGCTTCACTTCTCCACCTTTAATCAGAGTAGTAGATCAATCCCCCTTTGTGCTCAGTGATCCACATGCCCTCAGGATACAACACTCACCGCAAGCAAATGCCTGTCCTATACCGATAGGCAAACAGCATTTTTATTTGATCGTCCATTTAAATGGATCTATCCAAAGTCTTCCTTCCCCACAGCGGTACTTTAAAACTCTAAGTTCTCACGCACACGGGACATTTTGATAATGCTGGTAACAATAGCTGTGTAGTCCCGTTAAAAAAACGTGGTTTGCAGCTTTTTTGCATTAGCGTTTAGTGGAATTTTCCCGCGTTTGAGTTTTTTTTTCAGACCCCTCCATTTTTTGGGGGGTAAAAAAGCCCTTCCAAAAACACTGGTTTGCAAAGTTTTACCGTGTTTTTCAGCGTTAGAGTTTTTACAGCTCCTCTAGAAGCCCACTAGTTCTGGGTTTTTTTCCAGCCAAAAAACGTTGATTCCAGTCTGTGTGTGTATGGACACATAGGATAACATGCCGGGGATGGACACATAGGAGAAACATGCCGGGGATGGACACATAGGAGAACATGCCGGGGATGGACACATAGGAGAACATGCCGGGGATGGACACATAGGATAACATGCCGGGGATGGACACATAGGATAACATGCCGGGGATGGACACATAGGAGAACATGCCGGGGAGGGACACGTAGGAGAACATGCCGGGGAGGGACACGTAGGAGAACATGCCGGGGAGGGACACGTAGGATAACATGCCGGGGATGGACACGTAGGATAACATGCCGGGGATGGACACGAGGATAACATGGGGGGGATGGACACATAGGAGAACATGCCGGGGATGGACACATAGGAGAACATGCCGGGGATGGACACATAGGATAACATGCCGGGGATGGACACATAGGATAACATGCCGGGGAGGGACACGTAGGATAACATGCCGGGGAGGGACACGTAGGATAACATGCCGGGGAGGGACACGTAGGATAACATGCCGGGGAGGGACACGTAGGATAACATGCCGGGGAGGGACACGTAGGATAACATGCCGGGGAGGGACACGTAGGAGAACATGCCGGGGATGGACACGTAGGAGAACATGCCGGGGATGGACACGTAGGATAACATGCCGGGGATGGACACGTAGGATAACATGCCGGGGATGGACACGTAGGATAACATGCCGGGGATGGACACGTAGGATAACATGCCGGGGATGGACACGTAGGATAACATGCCGGGGATGGACACGTAGGATAACATGCCGGGGATGGACACGTAGGAGAACATGCCGGGGATGGACACGTAGGAGAACATGCCGGGGATGGACACGTAGGATAACATGCCGGGGATGGACACGTAGGATAACATGCCGGGGATGGACACGTAGGATAACATGCCGGGGATGGACACGTAGGATAACATGCCGGGGATGGACACGTAGGATAACATGCCGGGGATGGACACGTAGGATAACATGCCGGGGATGGACACGTAGGATAACATGCCGGGGATGGACACGTAGGATAACATGCCGGGGATGGACACGTAGGATAACATGCCGGGGATAGACACGTAGGATAACATGCCGGGGATGGACACGTAGGATAACATGCCTGGGATGGACACATAGGAGAACATGCCGGGGATGGACACACAGGATAACATGCCGGGGATGGACACACAGGATAACATGCCGGGGATGGACACGTAGGATAACATGCCGGGGATGGACACACAGGATAACATGCCGGGGATGGACACGTAGGATAACATGCCGGGGATAGGACACGTAGGATAACATGCCGGGGATAGACACACATGCCGGGGATAACACAGGAGCATGCGGGGATGGACACATAGGATAACATGCCGGGGATGGACACATAGGATAACATGCCGGGGATGGACACATAGGATAACATGGGGGGGATGAACACATAGGATAACATGCCGGGGATGGACACGTAGGATAACACGCCGGGGGGGATGGACACATAGGATAACATGGGGGGGATGAACACATAGGATAACATGCCGGGGATGGACACATAGGATAACATGCCGGGGATGGACACATAGGATAACATGCCGGGGATGGACACATAGGATAACATGCTGGGGATGGACACATAGGATAACATGCCGGGGATGGACACATAGGATAACATGCTGGGGATGGACACACAGGATAACATGCTGGGGGGTTTACTGGCTGTAGAAAAAACATCAAAAGCAAAAAACAGCCGCTGTAAAAGCGTCCCGTATGCAGGAGGACTTTATGTTTTTAAATGCAGTAAATGAAAATGTATTAAACTCACATAAAAGTGCTATAATAGTGCCAAAACTTCACCATGTGCCACCAATCTAAATCCGTAATTCCTACTCTTACCCTCCAATCAAAATTCTTGTAAGGGGAGATGATGAATCTTGTGAATTCCTCCTTTCCTGTTATTCTTCATACGTGGTAAATTGCTCTCCAAAAAAAACAAAAATTCCTAGAGTGTAGTATTTACAATAAAGCGATACCGATCGTTCCAGTGTGTTCACATTTATCCAAATTAAGTGACCATCAATCAGTCCTTGAGGCAGAGACCAGGTTGGCCAGGACAGGAGAGACAACAAAAGCCTAATTCTATGTCTGCTTCAGATACATCTTTTTTTGGGGTGTCCTTTGGGTTGGGGTACCAGGAATGGCATCAGGAAAATGCCTCTCATGCAGCCGGCTAATTCATCTGTGTTGGGGGTTGGGGCCACAGCACCTTCTGGATACAAAAGGTCCGTGATGATCTCTTCCTGCAATTTTAGGATGGATCCACTTCTTCCAGTTGCTTTGTAAAGCACAAAAGCGTTGTACAGAGCCAATTGAAATCAATGAACAGACACTTTTTTGTACCAGCATCTGGCTTTACAGGAAACTAAGTACGGCTTCATCCTCTGGTCGTTGAAGTCCACCCCTCCCATGTTAAGGTTTTAGTCGTGGACACAGAGGGGCTTCTCAACAACACCAGCTGCCGTGGTAATTTGGATGGTCGTGTCTGCGTGAATGGAAGACAGGATGAAAACATCTTGTTTGTCCTTACACTTCACTTTTTTCAAGCAGGCTGTCTCTTCCTTTCTAAGACAGGTATTTACAAGCCGTTGGATGAAGCCCTGGCGACTAGGTCGCACGGTGCCAAATGCACCAATTCCAAGATTGTACAAATGTCTAAATAGTGGCACACTTGAATAAAAATTGTCCACGTATAAGTGGTACCCCATATGGAGAAAGAATGACACCAAGTCCCAAACTATCTTGCCACTACCATGTAGTCTGGGCATCCGGTGGACACCATGTGATGTATCTTTTCCGAAAATTACATATAGAGCCTGTTGCCCCCTCACAGGTCTTCTACATCTTGACACCATATCTGGCACGCTTGCTTGGGAGAAATCGTTTGAATGCAAGGCGGCCAGAAAAATTAATGAGGGACGCATCAACGCAGATGTTTTGCTGGGGAGTATAGACATCTGCAAATTTCTGGTTAAGGTGATTTACGAGGGGCCGAGCTTTGTGGAGCCGGTCAAATTCAGGGTCCCCCCGAGGACGGCAGAGTGTATTGTCAATAAAATGCATAAATTGTATTATATTCTCATATCTATGCCTGGCCATGGCAGCAGAGAACACGGCATATGATGAATCGGCTTTTAGGCTATTCCATGCTAATTCTAAAAATGTCAGTTGATCAAATGGGCAGCTGTTTATGGTGGTAAGCAACAAGGGCCGTAAATAACACAGCTGGCCTTAATAAATTTTTTCATTTTGATTCACATGATCAAAAGTGTTTGGTTAGCCAATCAGAAACCACTCCAGGGTCAATAGCTGTTTTTTTAGCGGTGAGGTTTTAACTTATATGAGAAAGATTATAATCTGGAAGGGAATGAGTATGAAAGCACGGGGCTAGAATGTAGTATACATTATTGTATGCAGGGAAGCTACCTAGGTGCACATTATTGGTTGGACATACAGTTGTGACCAAAATTATTCAACCCCCACTGAAATTGAGTGTTTTGGCCAGTTTGACATTGCTTTTGATCATTCAGTCATCTTGCTTACATTTACATTAAAGAGGCACTTGTAGGTCAGACAAATATAACATAACAGTTATAATGAAATAACCACAAATGTCTTTTCTGTGCTCACAGCATTATCAGTTTTATTCAACCCCCAAGTGACATTCAATCTTAGTACTTAGTACAGCATCCTTTTACAGTTATAACAGCTTTTAAACGTGAAGCATAGCTTGACACAAGTGTCTTGCAGCGATCTACGGGTATCTTCGCCCATTCTTCATGGGCAAAGGCCTCCATTTCAGTCACATTCTTAGGCTTGCGCACTGCAACTGCTTTCTTTAAGTCCCACCAGAGGTTCTCAATCGGATTTAAGTCTGGTGACTGCGATGGCCACTCCAAAATGTTCCAGCCTTTCCTCTGCAACCATGCTCTAGTGGACTTGGAGGTATGCTTGGGATCATTGTCCTGTTGAAAGGTCCAACGTCTCCCAAGCCTCAGGTGTGTGACGGACTGCATCACGTTTCCATCCAATATCTCCTGGTACTGAAGAGAATTCATGGTACCTTGCACACGCTGAAGCTTCCCTGTACCTGCAGAAGCAAAACAGCCCCAAAGCATGATTGACCCTCCACCATGCTTCACAGTAGGCAAGGTGTTCTTTTCATCATAGGCCTTGTTCTTTCCTCCTCCAAACATAGCGTTGATCCATGGGCCCAAACAGTTTCTAATTTTGTTTCATCAGTCCACAGAACACTATCCCACAACTTTTGTGGTTTGTCCACATGGCTTTTGGCATACTGCAGTCGACTCTTCTTATTCTTTGGAGACAGCAAGGGGGTACGCCTGGGAGTTCTGGCACGGAGGCCTTCATTACGCAGTGTGCGTCTTATTGTCTGGGCTGAAACTTCTGTACCCACATCTGACAAATCTTTTCTCAGTTCCTCAGCAGTCACACGGGGACTTCTCTCCACTCTACGCTTCAGGTAGCGCACAGCAGTCGAAGTCAGCATCTTCTTTCTGCCACGACCAGGTAGCGTTTCAACAGTGCCCTTTGCCTTGAATTTGCGAATGATGCTTCCTAAGGTGTCTCTTGGTATGTTTAACATCTTTGCAATCTTCTTATAGCCATTGCCCTTCCTGTGAAGAGAAATCACCTCTTCTCTTGTCTTCCTGGACCATTCTCTTGCCTTCACCATGTTTGTAACCACACCAGTAAATGTCTAGAAGGAGCTGAGTATCACAGTCATTTTAAAGCTGCCTAATTGGTGCTTATTATGCTTGATTGCTGCTCGGTGACATCCACAGGTGTTTTCAATACCTGATGGAAAGCACCTGTATGAACCTCTGTTCTTCAGAGTGGTAGTCTTTAAGGGGTTGAATAATTGTGGCAATGAAGAAACCACATAAGAACCATTTACTACTGTATTACATAAACAATTGATGTCATTTTAGTTGCATTTGGGTAGTTACAACGTCCTTGTAGGATTTGATTCTGAATACAATTCCAAATGTACACTATAGTCCCTAAACCCCTTTACAGCATTGGGGGTTGAATAATTTTGGTCACAACTGTATATGCTGGATGGTGTAGTGCCTCTGTGCTTGCAATGACAGAAATGGGCTGAGTATTTTGAGTAGGACTGAAGGCTGCAGTTCGTTATACTTTTGGCCAAAATTCTGGACGGTCGTCTCTTCTGGAATTCAATAAATACTGATCTCTGGTAAAGAAGCTCGTTGCAGCAGAGATACTTATTAAGGGCTCATGTACACTGCAGCTGCTAAATTCACGTTCAGGAGATGTTCAGCGGTTTTTTTCAGCAGCCCCTGAACTCACCCTAATGATTTCCTGTGTCCATGTACACATCTTCGTTTACAGTCATTTACAGGCAGTTGAGTTTACAATCATTTTTTTTAACTCAACAAACTTGTGTTCAGACATCGATGTTATCAGCGTTTCAAATGCAAAACACTTGTAAACGCGTCTTAACGCGGCAAATCGCATTTATAAGCTTTTGCATTTGAAATCTTTTTTAAAACACTTCCAGTTCCCAATTCTGTCCAGAGCCTTTTTCATCATGAAAAATGCATGCAAAGAGTTTTCAAGGTACTCAGATGGACAAAACACTGAACACAGGATGTTCCTACCAAGCTTGTCACTCATTGTAATGACCAATTCACACCTCAGACCTCTCCCACCCTTGGAAACAAAAGATATGTTAATGACCATTCACACCTCAGACCTCTCCCACCCTTGGAAACAAAAGATATGTTAATGACCATTCACACCTCAGACCTCTCCCACCCTTGGAAACAAAAGAAATGTTAATGACCATTAACACACATTAGACCTCTCCCACCCTTAGAAACAAAGGATATGTTAATGACCATTCACACCTCAGACCTCTCCCACCCTTGGAAACAAAATATGTTAATGACCATTCACACCTCAGACCTCTCCCACCCTTGGAACAAAATATGTTAATGACCATTCACACCTCAGACCTCTCCCACCCTTGGAAACAAAAGATATGTTAATGACCATTCACACCTCAGACCTCTCCCACCCTTGGAAACAAAAGAAATGTTAATGACCATTAACACATTAGACCTCTCCCACCCTTAGAAACAAAGGATATGGTAATGACCATTCACACCTCAGACCTCTCCCACCTTGGAAACAAAAGAAATGTTAATGACCATTAACACATTAGACCTCTCCCACCCTTAGAAACAAAGGATATGTTAATGACCATTCACACCTCAGACCTCTCCCACCCTTGGAACAAAATATGTTAATGACCATTCACACCTCAGACCTCTCCCACCCTTGGAACAAAATATGTTAATGACCATTCACACCTCAGACCTCTCCCACCCTTGGAAACAAAAGATATGTTAATGACCATTCACACCTCAGACCTCTCTCCACCCTTGGAAACAAAAGAAATGTTAATGACCATTAAACACATTAGACCTCTCCCACCCTTAGAAACAAAGGATATGTTAATGACCATTCACACCTCAGACCTCTCCCACCCTTGGAACAAAATATGTTAATGACCATTCTCACTCAAATGCCTCATGAAGACCCCCTGCCAGGTGACCTTAATGACTCCCTCCACCAGACACCTTTTCCACCCTTGGAAACAAAAGAAATGTTAATGAGCAACTCGCACCTAGCCAATATCAACACATACTGCTGTCTCTGCTTCTACTCTCTGTATTTCTCTGAAACAGTCTGAAATAGTTAATAATTTACCACTTTTTAGTGCATTCTGGGCATTTGGGAGGTTCTCCTGTGCTTATCTTTAAGAAACACTTCTAAACGCAAACGTGCATAAAACGCGTTATGCGAACACAGCTAAACAAACGTTTTCCAGTCAGTTTCCATCGTTCAGAACCGTCCCGTGTACATGGGGCCTAATCATCATCCCTCTATATATTATGACAACACATGATATTTTCACAGCTGTTTATCATACCCCATATTTTCAGATAAAATGTACTGAAATTAATTTTAGCGCACACAAACACAATACCCATTTTTTTAAGTAAAATATAAAAGATGAGGTTGTGTCAAATAGTTGGGTCCCAAACATGTCAAGACTCGGGATTAACTGAGGTTTGTCTGTGGTCCTTCAGAGTTGGTGTCTCCAAGTGAAGCTGCAACAGGTCATATCTTTAGGAAGGCAGGAGGACCCACCAAAACGTTAGTAGCTTCTGCAGGGTTAGATCTACACTAGCAAAAAGGATATACTTTATATAACCGAGCACAAGACATAGGAGCCCTCAAATCTTTCAGGGACTTCGTGTTCAGGTAAGAAAGCCAAACAAAGGATTTTAGCTCACAGCAATAACTTTATTATATATAATAGACATGATGAGAAATGTCGGCAGCAAATGCCAACTCCGAAATCTATAAAAGCTGGGAATGATGATCACGGACAAGAGATCAATAGTTGCTCTGGTTGGGCTGGTCTCTCCTGTATCCTCTCCTCATGTAGCCGCCCTCTTTCCGTTGGTAAGAATCTTTTTGGTCTGAAAAGTGAGAAAAAAAAAGTCAGACATACCCAAAGCCAGGAAAAGGGGCCTATAGTATTCACCGCAAGTGTGTTTGGTTTGCTTCCTCAGATGATGATGAGACTAGAGGGTGTTTCCTAAAACCTCCGCCTGCTTTGAGTGAGTCTGTGCTTCAAGAGTTTTCCTGTACCCTTGGGTAGGTTGTGACCACCGCTCATTCATTTATATATATACACACTCACCGGCCACTTTATTAGGTCCACCTGTTCAATGGCTTGGTAACACAAATAGATAATCAGCCAATCACATGGCAGCAACTCAATGCATTTAGACATCTAGACGTGGTGAAGACAACTTGCTGAAGTACAAACCGAGCATCAGAATGGGGAAGAAAGGGGATTTAAGTGACTTTGAACATGGCATGGTTGTTGGTGCCAGACAGGCTGGTCTGAGTATTTAAAAAAACTGCTGATCTACTGGGATTTTCACACACAACCATTTCTAGGTTTTACAGAGAATGGTCCAAAAAAGAGAACATATCCAGTGCGCGGCAGTTGTGTGGAGGAAAATGCCTTGTTGATGTCAGAGGAGAATGGGCAGACTGGTTGGAGATAATAGAAAGGCAACAGTAACTCCAATAACCACTCGTTACAACCAAGGTATGCAGAATACCATCTCTGAATGCACAACACGTTGAACCTTGAAGCAGATGGGCTACAGCAGCAGAGGACCACACCAGGTGCCAGTGTCCCCATCTTCTGATGGCTCCTTCCAGCAGGATAATGCACCATGTCACAAAGCTCAAATCATCTCATATTGGTTTCTTGAACATAACAATGAGTTCGCTGCACTTCTAACGGCCTCCACAGTCACCAGATCTCACCACCTTTGGGATGTGGTGGAACAGGAGGTTCACATCATGGATGTGCAGCTGAGAAATCTGCAGCCATGGCGTGATTCTATCATGTGAATATGGAACAAAATCTCTGAGGAATGTTTCCAACACCTTGTTGAATCTATGCCACCAAGAATGAAGGCAGTTCTGAAGGCAAAAGGGGGTCCAAACCAGTGCTACCAAGGTGGTCCTAATAAAGTGGCTGAAGAGTGCATGTCCCGTTAGGAACTCCGATAGTTTAGACATGGGCATACTAATTACTATGGTATCAGATCCAAGACATTAACGACACCCATAGTCTGCATTTCATCTGCCCACTTTCCAGGTAGGTGAGTTCAAATCACACCCACTTCATGGGTTGGTCCCACCCAGACCCAGCCTTTAAATATACAGGGACCAACCATTAAACCCATTTTAGGCTTGGTCCCATCTAGACCCCACCCTCTAAGTATGCAGGAACCGCCTATTTTCACCCAGCCCACTGTAATTAATGTCTCTGATTTTTTGTAAGGTTGATGCCGTAATCCAGGGACACAACATCAGTGCAGCATAGCCACACATGTTTACAATGGATATTCTGAGATCTCCTTCCCAGCAGCATTTTTTCTGATTTTGGGCCCCCAGGAGAGGCAGCTGAGCCTGGTACCCCTGGGAAAGGGGGGGGTAGGTTGGTTGGTGATTTTGGATGTGCTCCAGATGTGGGAAGGGGTCACCACTTCTGCTCCTAGTAAATGTGATCACTTTTAATAAAAAGCTAGCAGCCCGCAGTTAACACCACCACCAAGCCTGGTACACTGTTGATCTGCATATCCACCTAAAGTGTATGGAACCTTGACAACAAACTTCTCTTCATTTCTCCCTTTTGGTCTGTTAAACTTTTGTTTTATCTGTTTAAAGCAGAGTTCCACTCAAAAGCAGACGCTCCGCCTATTTGCCTCTCCCCCCCTCCCTGCCATATTTGGCACCTTATGGGGTGGAGCGGGTACCTCGTTTTGAGATTTACCGGCTCAATTCACCACGGCAAAGTGAGCCAGCAGTCCCCTCCTCCCTCCCGCAGTCTCCTGGGAACTTTCACAGGTCCCAGGAAACTGCCGGGCCAATCAGGAGGCACGGCGCAACTCGCGCATGCGCAGTGGGCACCAGGCTGTGAAGCCGCAAGCTGTCACAGCCTAATGCCCACAGTAGAGATGCCGGTGCCGTGGAGGACAGAGTTTACCTGGTTTTGACAGGTACCCGCTCCCACTTCCGGCTCAGTTCGCCGTGGCAAAGTGAGCCAGAAGTTCGGCTCCATCCTACCTCCTGCAGTCTCCTGGGAACTTTCACAGGTCCCAGGAGACTGCCGGACCAACCAGGAGGCGCAGCATTACTTGTGCATGCGCAGTGGGCACCAGGCTGTGAAGCTGCAAGCTGTCACAGCCTGGTGCCCATAGTAGAGATGCCGGCACCATGGAGGACAGAGTTTATCTAGTTTTGATAGGTACCCGCTCACACGTCCGGCTCGCTTCGCACCGGCCCCCTCCTCTCCTCCCGCAGTCTCCTGAGAACTTTCACAGGTCCCAGGAGACTGGGCCAATAAGGAGGTGCGGCGCAACTTGCGCATGCACAGTGGGCACCAGGCTGTGAAGCCACAAGCTGTCACAGCCTGGTGCCCACAGTAGAGCTACCGGCACCAGGAGAAGGGACTGCGCGAGAGTGAGCACATCGCTGGTCCCTGGAAAAGGTAAGTGTGTGCTTATTAAAAGTCAGCAGCTACAGTTTTAGTAACCGCTGACATTTAATAAACACAAAAACATTTGGAACTCCACTTTAATAAATGGAGCAAACACCAGTTGATCCTGCCAGAAATCTTGGGACCTGATAATGTAATGGACAAAAGAAAACGAGGATTTTTTTCTATTGTCCCAACACACCTCCTTCCAAGGGTGACAATGCTGCTAGATACAGTATGACTGTCACCCTAGGACAGGAAGTGTGTTATTGGCAAGACCATTAAATGGACATAAAGTGAAAAAAAAAGCTAAAGAGAGAAAAGTAATGCAGCCACTACATCTAAGAACTGGTAAGCTGCAATATACCGTATAACATTTGTGTTCTTGGGTTCAGAGTATGAACTAAATGAAAGGTGATAGATAAACCAATAACCACAAAAAGAAAGAAAAAAATGAAGACGTGAATGAGAAAGTACTTAAAGTGGACCCTTCGCTGACACCCAGGAGACGGCCATGTAGAAATTAACATTTAGCTTTTCAAGTGGAATGGTAAAAATGTTCTCTCTTTTCTGTCCTGAATAAATGATGGCTGCCATTACTGGGATTCTGGACATGCTAGTTGTTTCAGGTCCCGGAGTAAGGAAGGAAGAGAGCCAGGGATCTAATATGTTTGGGATAAATCAATAGTGGCAACATACAATACTGGCAACAGAGCAGAAGGGGTCAGGGATTGGATGGGGGGGGGTGAAACAATAAATGTTTTGATAATATGCTAAGGTTTTAATGAGTATGTTTGTATAACTTGTTTATCTGAAAAATTAATAAATATTTAAATAAATAAATTAAAAAAAAAAAAAAAAATATAGTGGCAGCCATTATGACCGTTTCCTTTGTATGAACAGGTGAGGACAGGATAGAACCTCCATCGGGTTGTACTGGCATCTGTGTTCTTGTTACGAATATTTGGGTGGGGAATCTCCTCAATGGGGAGACATCAATAAATACCTAAAATCCTATCCTTCCTCCACTACATACAAAACTGAGATTCCACCTCAAGTGCCTCATTGGTAGGACGTCACCGCATGAGAGACAAAAAAATCATCAGCTCAGCCCTGTAAATGGCCGTCACCAAGTGCAGTTCATGAGTCCACTTTATATCTGAGTGAAGAGAAGGTTGTAGGATGGACATTCCACGTGGACTATGGTAGAAGATGAAGATGCAGGATCCTAAGAACATACAGCTTTCCTCACCGCGATTGAAGTATCCTCCATAACTGCCCTGCTTATGATCAAAAATGCGCTCATTGTTCTCCACCAGGTTGCCTAGTTTCTCGGCCAGTTGCAGGGCAGTGTTCTGCAGAGAGCTGGGCTCCGTCCCATGCATCACCACCGTCTGGGTGGGCTGATCCAGGGACGCCTGCGGGAAGACCAGAACGGAAGGGGGGATGATTACCGAACAATCAACAAACTTTTTATAAAAGAACATCAACTAGAAAGGTAAAGTAGAGCTCCGGTATGCGTGAACTGAAAGGAAAGCGAGAGGTAAAGTATTAAAAAATGAGTTATACTTACCGCTGTGCTGTCCTTTGCATTTCCTTGGCAGGAAAATTCTGCAGTGTCAGCTCAATGCTTCCCGTCCCAACTTGTAAATTAGTATGGACAGGAAGGACAATGCAAACAGAAAGTACTGAGCTTATGGGGACCACTGCCCTGTCCACACAGTTTTCAAAGAGCTATGGTTAGGAAAAGACACCACGGAGGCACATGTACCCACATGGAAGAAAAATATATTTGAAATATATTTTTAAAATATTCATTCCAAATATACTGATATATTTGAAATACTACAATTTTGGCCATATTCAAAAAAATGTGTGTATATATATATATATATATATATATATATATATATAATATATATATATATATATATATATATATATATATATATATATGTATGAGGTTGGCCTCCCCTCTGATGAAGTGCCGTAGCACGAAAGGCCTCAGGAGGAGCCGGCAGCACGTGTGACGTCATACACCGCCGCGACCACGAGGAGGTCCGGCGGCCATTTTCCTTGCTGGGTCAGTGCAATATTCCTTTCCACTGAATGCTGGCAATTTATTTTTGTACATGAACCCGCGGATCTTTTATTAAATGTGACCAATAAACTAGCTTGAACCTACTACACTATTGGCACTCCCTCTTTGTTTTGACCCTCTTTCTGAGGGTTTCATATCTACAGCAGCTGGTTCCCAGTGTATCTTGCATCCAGAAGAGGGAGCCCATTCACCTAGGCTGTCCATTCACTGGTTCAGTGTGCTCTCTGAGTCCTGCTGTATACCACTACACCCAAGGCTGATAATCTACCTGTGAGAGATGTATCGTGTGTATTTGCTGATTACCTAGATTGATGGTCATATACAGGCGCATATTTAATGCGCGGTCGGTGAATGCGCATTTTTTTCTATAGAGTTCCAGTCACCTATTTAATATAAGGAAGACTTTCACTTCAAGTTCCATTTCAGATTTTCTGTATATTTATGAAGATTTCATGAACTTTATATACATCTATATATTATTATCCATTAATTTATATTTTATTCAAATCTCAGCGCTGCACTATACTTATATGATTTATGTTACAAGGTTTGGGTGATTCCTTTGAGTGTTCTAGCAGCTGAATATATGAGCGCTCGCTGTATTCCTATATATATATATATATATATATATATATATATATATTATATATATATGTATGTATGTGTATATATATATATATATATACATATATACACACACATATACACACATACATACATACACACACACACACATACATATATATATACACACACATACATATATACAGTGGGGATCGAAAGTTTGGGCACCCCAGCTATAAATTTGTATTAATGTGCATAAAGAAGCCAAGGAAAGATGGAAAAATCTCCAAAAGGCATCAAATTACAGATTAGACATTCTTATAATATGTCAACAAAAGTTAGATTTTATTTCCATCATTTACACTTTCAAAATAACAGAAAACAAAAAAATGGCGTCTGCAAAAGTTTGGGCACCCTGCAGAGTTAATATCTTGTGCTGCCCCCTTTGGCAAGTATCACAGCTTGTAAACGCTTTTTGTAGCCAGCCAAGAGTCTTTCAATTCTTGTTTCAGGTATCTTTGCCCATTCTTCCTTACAAAAGTCTTCCAGTTCTTTGAGATTTCTGGGCTGTCTGTCACGCACTGCTCTTTTAAGGTCTATCCATAGATTTTCAATGATGTTGAGGTCAGGAGATTGTGAAGGCCATGGCAAAACCTTCAGTTTACGCCTCTTGAAGTAATCCCCCGTGGATTTCGAGGTGTGTTTAGCATCATTATCCATTTGTAGAAGCCATCCTCTCTTTAACTTCAGCTTTTTCACAGATGGCATCAAGTTACCATCCAAAATTTGCTGAAATTTTATTGAATCCATTTTTCTTTCTACTCGTGAGATGTTCCCTGTGCCACTGGCTGCAACACAACCCCAAAGCATGATTGATCCAACCCCATGCTTAACAGTTGGACAGAGGTTCTTTTCATTAAATTCTGTGCCCCTTCTTCTCCAAACGTACCTTTGCTCATTCCGGCCAAAAAGTTCAATTTTAACCTCATCGGTCCACAGAACTTGTTTCCAAAATGCATCAGGCTTGTCTATATGTTCATTTGCAAAGTTCAAACGATGATTTTTGTGGTGAGGATGTAGAAGAGGTTTTCTTCTGATGACTCTTCCATGAAGACCATATTTGTACAAGTATCTCTTTATAGTGGAATAGTGTACCACAACTCCAATGTCTGCCAGATCTTTCTGGAGGGATCGTGCAGTCAAACGTGGGTTTTGAATTGTTTTTCTCACAATCCTGCGAGCTGTTCTGTCTGATATTTTTCTTGGTCTTCCAGATCTTGCTTTAACTTCCACTGTTCCTGATGACTGCCATTTCTTAATTACATTCCGAACAGAGGATATTGACATCTGAAAACGCTTTGCTATCTTCTTATAGCCTTCTCCAGCTTTGTGAGCGTCAACTATTTTCAGTTTCAGTTTTCTAGACAACTGCTTAGAAGAACCCATAGTGCTGATTGTTGGGGCAAGGTCAGATGAGTCTGGGCATTTAAAACCTTTGAGATTGACATCACCTGGTCTTCCCAGACATGATTGAGAACAATCCATGACACTGGCAGGTCTCAGCTTGCAAAGGGGGCAGTGCATGCTATAAATTCTGCAGGGTGCCCAAACTTTTGCAGACGCTATTTTTTTGTTTTCTGTTATTTTGAAAGTGTAAATGATGGAAATAGAATCTAACTTTTGTTGACATATTATAAGAATGTCTAATCTGTAATTTGATGCCTTTTGGAGATTTTTCCATCTTTCCTTGGCGTCTTTATGCACATTAATACAAATTTTTAGCTGGGGTGCCCAAACTTTCGATCCCCACTGTACATATATATATATATATACACATATACATACACACACACACATACATATATACACACACATACATATATACACACACACATACATATATACTGTATGTTGAAATGCGTTTTTATTACAAAATATCTGAAAAATATTTTTCACAGTATTTTTTTTTTATATATTCGTCAGATTTTTTTTTAACATATAAAAAAAAGTCATTTTAACATATTTTACATACATTTGTAAATGCATTCCAAAAATGTAGATTTGTATTGTTAAAGACATACAGTATTTTTTAAAAATATTTTCATATATTTTGTAATAAAAACGCATTTCAACATACATTATATATATTTATTTTTTTAAATATTGAATATGGACAAAATTGTAGTATTTTAAATATATGTTAATATATTTGGGAAGAATATTTTCAAAATATATTTCAAATATATTTTTCTTCCATGTGGGTAATAACCACCCTACACTTACATTATATTGCCAAAAGCTTGTGGACACCCTGACCATTACACTTACATGAGCTTGTGGGGACATCCCAACCATGGTCATTAATTTGGGGATGGTTTCCCTTTGCAGCTATAACAACCTCCACTCTTCGGGGAAGACTTTCCACAAATGTGTGCCTGTAGGAATTTGTGTCCATTCAGCCAAAAGAACATTTGTGGAGTCAGGTATTGAGGTTGGATGAGAAGACCTGGCTCACAATCATCACTGCAATTCATCCTTGTCCATCAAACCTACCGATAGGACCAAAAGTATGTAGAAACCTCTCCAAATGATGGAGCTCAGGTGCTTCCAGTGAAGGGTACTGGATACAGTGGCACTGTTCCTGCCTTGTGGTACCAGTCTGGTGAAGACCCTCTTCTTTTCTAGCATGAGTGCACCCTTGTGTACAAAACCAGCTCCATAAAAGACATGGTTTGGTGTGGAGGAAATGGAGTGTCCTCAGGAACCCAGACCCCAATCCTTCTGAACATCTTCTGACATATCAGCATGGATGTCACACCACTTCCTCGATCTTTCTAAAACTGAGCTTGTAATATTCCCTCCAGCCCGTGCCCCCCCCCCCGACTTCTCCATCAAGACCAGTAATACAACCATTAGTCCCAACGCTCACGCCAGGGTACTAGGTGTAATCCTGACCTGTCCCTTTCAGCCCCAAATCCAATCACCGTCCAAATCTTGTAGACTTCACCTCCACAACATCTCCAAGATACGTCCCTTTTTAACCATTGAGACCACTAAGCACCTTATTCACCTCCTTGTTATATCTCTCCTTGACTACTGTAACTCCCTCCTCATTGGCCTTCCTAATCGCAGGCTATCCCCTCTTCAGTCTATCGTGAATGCTGCTGCCAGACCCATCCACCTTACCAACTGTTCCGTGTAGGCCACCTCCAAGGAGGGAGTAGCATTCATCCTCCTTAAGGCAAGGCTAATACCCCAGCAATCTGCTGTGTCCACCAGTGAATGTTCCGAAAAATGTTGAGTGCACTGACCTTTGAAGGACATCATCACAAGCAATACTCACCATTAGTTCCTCATTGATGATCATCTTGCTGATAATACTGTGTACTGTGGGGATCTCCAGCTGAAACATGTCTCCCAATATCCCCATCCTGGAAGAGAGGAGACACAGGAAGTATAGGAAGAGATCAGAAAGGGTTCGCAAACCAACAGGGAATAATTTCTTAGGGTGGTCACAGCCTTTTCCAACATATCTGTAGCACACATTAACAAAGTAGATAGCCAAGTAGAAGACCCAGACCTGATAGAATCATAGACACTGCTGTAGGTGAAGAGGTAAGTCCTTAGAGATTCCTCCTGGATCTTCCTGAGGATGAAAGAAGACAAGATGGTGACAATGTGACCTTATTACAAACGGATTAGAATCTCTCGACAGGTTGGAATTCCTACCTGACCAGCATGTTCCGTACACGGTCAGCCTCAGGGAACAAGTCCCACACCTTTCCGTTCATCTTCTCGTTAATGATGAAGTTCCTGCAGGTCTTCCAGTCTCCCATCTTCATGGCCTTGGAAGCAGCGACCACATGTTCTCTCATACTCTCCGGTGGACCTGAAAGATGGAGGACATGGTGATTAGACCCGAGTCACACTAGATGTAGTCACAACCTAATGCAACCTAATGAATCACATTGATCTCATCCAAAAGGAAACTTTTTCAGGTTTTGAAGGATGATGGAGAGTTATTACACCTGAAATGTTTTGCTTCTCTCTGGGAATCCAATGGAAAGATCTTTTTCGGGGTTGCCAATTATACCTCTCCCGCTAGGATTTATATTATTAAAGTCCAAATAAAATCTCAAAGCCTTTTCATTTTTTTTATTGCCAACTGCCATGTTAAAGCTGAACTCCTGGCAGATAAAAGACAAAATACTGCAGCTCTGTAATCATTCATACATTATTAAACAAATTTACTTTTGAAGGCAAATTCCAACTTCCAATTTAGCAAAATAAAATAAACGTACCCACACTACCTGCAATCGAGGGCTGGAGGAAGTATCAATGGACTTCAAGTGCGGTGACATTGTTGCACTTGTGCTCCATTGGAGGCTATGAGTCCCTCTGCTGCAGTGGCAGATGGGACTTGTAGTCTTTTCATTCACAGATCATTGTGAATGAATAAAGCCACACACAGCCAATCAAAAAAAATAACAAAAAAAATAGACTGGGTACTGCAGGGAGAAGAACCCAATGATTCAGTAAGAGGAGGGTCCCAATTTAGGGGTGGGGGGCTGCAGACATGAAATAAGGTCAGAAAAGTGGACTTCGCTTGTAATGTAGCCACCCAAATATGACTTGTATATAAGAGTTCAGGACAGAAGAGGAGGTAACTGATCATTGCTGCAGTGCAAGCTGCATGCTGATAGGTGGAAACTGCAAAGTGAGAGATGACCTCACTAATCTGCGGCTTCTACTTTTAATGTCCAGTCACAGGCTGGAGGAGGGACAAGACCTATAAATGTTGCCTAACTGCAGCAGAGAAGAGTCAGGTCTCCTCCCCTGCCAATTCAGATTGTGTCACAGAGTGGAGTAAATCTCAAGACTGGATGCACAGAAATACAAATCCTTTGTAAAATAACTTCCTTATATGTATTTTATTTGGGTGTTTAGCCATTTGCCTTGGTTGGGAGAGGACTGGGAGGGATTAAGCAAGGCTTCCACACGTCCAGGATATGCAAGCTCTTGCAAAAACACAAATGAGTGGTCAGTGCTGAGGGTGGGTCTGGGCTTGGCATCAAGGACAGAGTTGTCAGTGCTGCGGGTGGGTCTGGGCTTGGCATCAAGGACAGAGTTGTCAGTGCTGCGGGTGGGTCTGGGCTTGGCATCAAGGACAGAGTTGTCAGTGCTGCGGGTGGGTCTGGGCTTGGCATCAAGGACAGAGTTGTCAGTGCTGCGGGTGGGTCTGGGCTTGGCATCAAGGACAGAGTTGTCAGTGCTGCGGGTGGGTCTGGGCTTGGCATCAAGGACAGAGTTGTCAGTGCTGCGAATGGGTCAGGGCTTGGCATCAAGGACAGAGTTGTCAGTGCTGCGGGTAGGTCAGGGCTTGGCATCAAGGACAGAGTTGTCAGTGCTGCGAATGGGTCTGGGCTTGGCATCAAGGACAGAGTTGTCAGTGCTGCGGGTGGGTCTGGGCTTGGCATCAATGACAGAGTTGTCAGTGCTGCGGGTGGGTCTGGGCTTGGCATCAAGGATAGAGTTGTCAGTGCTGCGGGTGGGTCTGGGCTTGGCATCAATGACAAAGTTGTCAGTGCTGGGTGGGTCTGGGCTTGACATCAAGGACAGCGTTGTCAGTGCTGCGGCTGGGTCTGGGCTTGGCATCAATGACAAAGTTGTCAGTGCTGGGTGGGTCTGGGCTTGACATCAAGGACAGCGTTGTCAGTGCTGCGGCTGGGTCTGGGCTTGGCATCAATGACAGAGCTATCACCAAGGACAAGATCTAGGAAGCGTGTTGTCAGCCTATCAAAGGAAGTACCTACCCAGTGGCTGTATAATGACAGGATCAACAAGTATTTAGAAAATGTTCGTAGGGCACTTTGAAAAGTTTGACCATAGTTCTACTTTAGGTATGAAAAGCACGGAGTGGGAAAGGTGGGGGTGCAACATCCAGACCTTTGAGGTGGGTGAGAGCAGAGCTAAAGATATACAAGGATCCAGAAAACTCATTTACAAATCAGATATCACTTTTGGATGGGTAAAGAGTAACCTCTGATATATCTAAATATATGAGAATTCTGGACATCCAAAAGTCTGACATGTTTCGCAGGCTAGCCTCTTCCTCAGAGCCAACTACCTAAATGAGACCCTATGAGACATATAGGCAGTTGGCTCTGAGGAAGAGGCTAGCCCTCGAAACGCGTCAGTTTTGGATGTCCAGAATTCTCATCACAGACAGATACGCAGTGCGAATTGGACAGAGCTCTTCCTTCATGATGTGCCTTTTATTTATTGACGATTGTGAGTAGAAAACCTATTTTTTAACATTCAATTAATATACTTTTAAGGTAATGCACTAGGCCGGTGCGCCCTCTGTTTGTTCTTTCTTCATTCAGTATATTCGGACTCCCCAGTCCTTTGAGGGCAGCAAGGCGTGCATATCCCAAGAATTTCGTTATGTGGTCCCAATGACATTGAATCCATCCCCAAGCACAGGAGTATCTGGGTTTTCCACTTCTACATATCTAAATATATCCTGAAAACCCCAATTTTCCCATCGAGGACTCACCAAGCAGCGGCTGCCTCTCGCCCACACGCAGCTGATGGTGGAACTGCTTGCTGATCATCCTCCGCCGCGCATCGAACTCGTGGGCTGCCATGTAAGGGATCTCCAGCAGCATGGCGGACACCAGGTAGACACATTCCAGCAGCTCCAGGTTGATGTGCATGTGGAAGGGGATCTGCCTGCGTTTCTCTATCTTCTCCTGTTCCTGATTTCTCTCCTGCATGGTCCTCATCAGCAGACCCTGTCCCAGCAACTCCTTGGCTCTCCCACTAGACTGGATGTCCAGGAGAGCGTTGTGCGCATCGCGGATCATGCCTTGCCGGAAGGCGCAAATACCCAACTGCACCATGGTCCGGTTGTACAGGATCTGGAAGTGACAATAATCTGGTCATTACATGAAAACAATTTTTTAAAGCACAGAGGACAACTATATAGGAGGCTCTCTAGAGGATTAGGTCAAGAAACTCAAAATCATCTGATGGACTAAAACCTACACCCAGACCACAAGAGGGGCCGAAGCTAAACTGGGGCGCACTACAAATACAGACCGATTTATGGTTGTGGGTTTAGTAACACCAAGTACAGTATGTGGTGAAGGGCCAGTCTCTCCCTTACCTGCACTGGAGGGTCAGCATGCTGGATGTTGTCCTGCAGGTGGGACATGAGCATGAGGTCTCTGGCCTGGAACCAGCGGTTGTGCAGGGCGTGGTGGTAGATGTGGCACAGGATGGCACACGTTCGAATTCTGTCCGTCCTGTCCTTGGCGTAGATGTATTTACTGAGTCTGTCCATGAGGATTGCACTGTCCTCGCCTTCGTTCTCAGCCTGGTCCTGTTCTGACTGACAGGAGGAGATAAAAATGAATATTAACACCTCAGAACGGGAGATCTAGGTTACTTTGTATTCACAGCAATCAATCTATCCTCAATGGAAACAGAAAGGCAGCAAGGAAAAGAAATCAGTGGCCTCACAACAGAAACCGAGCCAAATTCAGACAATCTATCCAAGGACTAGAACATGGGGGTTCCAAGCACTTCCTACAGTCTATTCAATGACTAGAACATGGGGGTTCCAAGCACTTCCTACAATCTATTCAATGACTAGAACACGGGGGTTCCAAGCACTTCCTACAATCTATTCAATGACTAGAACACGGGGGTTCCAAGCACTTCCTACAATCTATTCAATGACTAGAACACGGGGGTTCCAAGCACTTCCTACAGTCTATTCAATGACTAGAACACGGGGGTTCCAAGCACTTCCTACAGTCTATTCAATGACTAGAACACGGGGGTTCCAAGCACTTCCTACAATCTATTCAAGGACCAGAACACGGGGGTTCCAAGCACTTCCTACAATCTATTCAATGACTAGAACACGGGGGTTCCAAGCACTTCCTACAATCTATTCAATGACTAGAACACGGGGGTTCCAAGCACTTCCTACAATCTATTCAATGACTAGAACACGGGGGTTCCAAGCACTTCCTACAATCTATTCAATGACTAGAACACGGGGGTTCCAAGCACTTCCTACAATCTATTCAATGACTAGAACATGGGGGTTCCAAGCACTTCCTACAATCTATTCAATGACTAGAACACGGGGGTTCCAAGCACTTCCTACAATCTATTCAATGACTAGAACACGGGGGTTCCAAGCACTTCCTACAATCTATTCAATGACTAGAACACGGGGGTTCCAAGCACTTCCTACAATCTATTCAATGACTAGAACACGGGGGTTCCAAGCACTTCCTACAATCTATTCAATGACTAGAACACGGGGGTTCCAAGCACTTCCTACAATCTATTCAATGACTAGAACATGGGGGTTCCAAGCACTTCCTACAATCTATTCAATGACTAGAACACAGGGGTTCCAAGCACTTCCTACAATCTATTCAATGACTAGAACACGGGGGTTCCAAGCACTTCCTACAATCTATTCAATGACTAGAACACATGGGGGTTCCAAGCACTTCCTAGAGTCTATTCACCAGAGGAGGGATGTGAAAAAGTTTGCTAACATGAACAAAGGCTCTTTTGAGAATGCCAATAATTCACAAAGCTAGAAAGCATTAGTTACTTTTCAATTAACAAGTGTTCTTTTCAGCCAAATGATTTATTATTTTTAGCTTTGATTGGCTGGCAATGTTGAAAGTAACAAATCAAAGATACAGTTGAATTTATTAAAAAAAAATAGAGACAGACAAATCACCACCCACATAAGTCATGAACAAGGGTAGAACTACATTACCCAGCACTCTTTCCTCTGTTGTACTAATTATTAACCACTGTACCACCGTCTCATAGCAGAAATACTGCAATATATGTGTGTGTGTGTGTGTAATATATACATATACATACCCACACATATATTGCAGTATTTCTGCCATGGGACGGTGGTAAAGTGGATAATAATTAGTACAACAGAGGAAAAATAAAAAATGCACAGGCGATCAAATACCCCCGAAAGAAAGCTTAATATATGAGGAAAAAAAGAACGTAAATTTAATTTGGGTGCAGCGTTGCACGACCGTGCAATTGTCAGTTAACCATTAGCCGCCCGGCCAATGGCCGTTTGGCGGTTTCAGATGTGCCTCTTCATTCCGGGTGCACGCCATTTGGCGTGCTCCCGCACATGCGCCGTTTGCGGTAATGCAGAGCGGCGCAGCAGCAGGATCTGTCACAGGCCGTGCACCTCGGACACGGCCGATGACAGATCCGAGTACCGGCTCCCGTTGCTGGTACCATGTGACCTGCTGTGACCAATCACAGCAGGTCACATGACAGTTGTATACAATGGATGGCTTCATTCATGATGCCATCCATTGTATACTAGTGCCTAGCTGTGAATGGTCACAGCAGGTCACATGCACATGTCATGTGATTAGCTGTGACCAAATCACAGCTAAGCACAAAAAAAAAAAAAAGAAAAAAAAAAAAAAGCTGAATGAATCGATTTAATTCAGGTAAATGCTTGCTTATAGCAAAGTAATTCTTTGCTATAAGCAAATTGTGTAAAAAAAAAAAAAAATACTGATCACTTCCCCAAAGTAGTACAGTGTTACTATGGTAACATTGTACTACTTTGGTCATAGTAAAATATGAAAAAAAATCTTAAAAAAAATTTAAAAAAAATGTAATAAAAAATTTAAAAAAAATAAAAAAAATTAAAAAAAATTTAAAAAAAAATTTTTTTTTTTTTTCATACTGTCACCAGTCAGTGTCCCTGTTCACCGCCATGCCAGTTATATGACGACGCTGTACTGCACTGGTGACAGTATGTAAAAAAAAAAAAATAGTGAAAATTTTTTTACATTTTTCATTTTCCGAAAAATTATGACATAAAAATACAACTTCAAAAAACTCGCCATGCCTCTTATGAAGTACGTCGGACTGTCTACTCTGCAAAAAGGGGTCATTTGGGGATATCTGTACTATTCTGACATTTTTGGACCTCAAGATATTAGATTGGCCGTCAGTACTTCAGGATTGATCAATATTCAGATCTATACCATAGTTTGTGAACTCTATAACTTTCCTACAAACTAAATAATACATCCTAATTCGGGTTATTTTCACCAAAGACATGTAGCAGAATACATCTCGGCCTAAATTTATGAAGAACAATTATTTATCTGTAAACTTTTATAACAGAAACAAAGAAAAATGTGTTTTTTTTTCAAAATTTTTGGTCTTTTTTTGTTAATTTAGCAAAAAATAAAAACCCCAGCGGTGATTAAATACCACCAAAAGAAAGCTCTAGTTGTGTGAAGAAAATGATAAAATTTTAGTTTGGGTACAATGTTGTATGACCGCGCAATTGTCATTCAAAGTGTGAGAGCGCTGAAACCTGAAAAATGGCCTGGGCAGGAAGGTGTGAAACTGCACGGTATTGAAACGGTTAAAGAAACGCAGCGCCGTATGGCAATAATGGCCTGGTCAGGAAGGGGGGGGGGGGGGAATCAGAAATAAAACTTCTATAGAGGTGTTGCTGGTCCTCCTGGGTGTACAGAAAACATCACCTTAGACTCCTGCCCGGTACTGAGTTGTCTCTGATGGGCCTTGTAGTCAAATTTGTAGTAAGTGTGCATGATCCTCCGGAGATACACCCGGCAGATCTCCTCGGTGCTGCCCTTCTCCTGCAGATATTTCTGTACGCGCTCGATCACCTCACACACGCGCGCCTCGTCTTTCAGATTGTCCACATATTCTGCAAAAAAACAAAACCATGAGATGAGCCCAAAATCCCCAACAAGGCAGAACCACGGACGGGCTGGTCTCCTGCCCAAAAATACCAAACAGTGACCTCCTCTATCACCCGAGGTTATTTGGAATGTCAGGCCGGTTTAATCATGCTGCAATAATACTCAAAGCATGCCAAAGTGTCCCCTCAAACATTGAATGGGATAATCCCACACAAAAATCCATTTTTAGAATTGTTCGGATTTATGTCTCCGCCCACATCCAGTCCTGAGATTTATACAGCTCAGCTACACAGCACAGCCCTGCAAAAGACTTAAAGTGGAGTTTCAGCCTTTTTTTTTTTTTTTTTTTTTTTTTAAACTTCCAATATTTCCAATGCCCCCCCCATGTACAGTGCGAAATGGAAATTATTGTTTTTGTTTGTTTCTAAATACCTTTATTATAATTCTTCGGGCAGCACTTCCTGTCCCGGCCGCCTAGGCGATGATGTCATTAGGAGATTCCCATTGACTCCTGGGATATCGGCGTCATCTATCCCAGGAGTCTTTGGGAAGCCCAATAATGAAATGTGATTGGCAGGTTGCCATAACGGGGAGGGTACTTCCACCGATGCTGTACTAAACAAACTGCACTGCGCAGTGTCATTACTCCACAGGCACGAGATCGGGAGGTGCATGCTGGGTAGCCAGCTGCACTGAATCCTGGAAAAAGACACAAGCGGGCTTCAGATGCCCACATCCTAGATGGCCACCTGCCTGCTTCTGAGATCAGGTACATTTTTAAAGATTTTAAAGCACAAATACTGTTCTAACAGTATTCCAGTTTAAATGTACAAGTAATAATCACATAAAAAAAAAGTGATTATGGGGAGTGGAGCTCCGCTTTAATTTGTCTCTTTTGTGTCTTCTCAAGCTCATAATCAGACAGTGAAAGGAGAAGCAGCGGGCTGAAGATCGCATATCCCTGCTCCTGTCTTCTCACAGCGTGCCCTTTGTTGGTGCATGAGCATAGCAGCCAACTTTGGCTTTCTTGTGCTGCTTCTCCCTCTTTCAGTCTGAGCTCTGCTGTATGGGTGATTTCATAAGGACAAATACATTAAACAATGCACAGGCGTACCTCAGTTTACGAATTTAATGCGTTCTATGGCACTTTTTGTATTGCGAAAAATTCGTAAACCGAAACGCGGTTTCCCATAGGAATGCACTGAAAACCAATTAATCGGTTCCGGAGATCAGAAAAAAAGTTAAAAAAACCCCAAAAAAAAGTCTTATCTGTTCAAAACTCTTTATAAAGTGCACTTTAAAGGCATAAATACTAGGGATGCACCAAAAATTTTGGCCACCAAAAACATATCAGCCGAAAATAGCCCAATCGGCATTTTGCCGATAGGACAATTTAGCTGATACAGGTGCTGATACAGGAGACCATGTGTACTGCAGACGTGGGGGGGGGGGGGGGGCAGCAGAGAGAGGCAGGAGAGGAGCAGTGTATACAATGACTGGCTGTCACTATAGGTCAGTGGTTTTTAAATTTAATTATTTTTTTCTTCACTATAGCTCAGAGAATCAGCTGTCACTTTCTCTCCCCAGCTGAAATAAAAGAAAAAAGTTTCCTTTTACTTTCCTGTAAAAGAAACAAAGTTTCTTTTAGTTTATTTCCCCAGCTGAAATAAAAGAAACAGTTTCCTTTTAGCTGGGTGGAAAGTGACAGCTAATTCTGTGAGCTATAGTGAAGAAAAAAAAAAAAAAAGCCGGAAATTGCATTTAAAAAAAAAAAAAAAAAAAAAAAAAAAAAAAAAAAAAAAAAATCGGTACCTACATACACGTCGTATTGCGAAAAAAATTCGTAAACTGAGGCATTATTTTCAATCGATTTTCATTTGTAAACCGAAAATTACGTCAAAGAGGCATTTGTAAACCAAGGTGCACCTATAGTAATATTTTCAGACCCGTATTTGTGTCTTTTTAGCTCTGATCTGATGAATCAGGCCCATTGTAATTTACAAAATAAAGCCATTCAAACAGCCTGACAAGAATCATTATATAGAAGAGAGGATGAATATCACTCGGATGGAAGACGGAAATCCTGCACTTTTATTGATAGTATAACATGTCAAAACACCAACACATCTCCCAAACAGGGAACTGCTGTCTCCCATTTAGGAGCTACATTGGTGTTTTGACATGTTATACTATCAATGGCAGCTGCGGACCGGACCGGCACCTGAGGATACATTGGAGGGATTGGCATTTTAGTGGGTCAGCTTGGATTGGTGTACTTTTCTCTGTCGAGAATCATTACATATTTTATGTGTCACATGACATAAGCCCTACATGTGCTCTACATACCTTGTGAATGGGGATCTGTATTTTGCATAATTTTGGTGAATTCTTCATCCATTCTCTCGACCAGAGTGAGGATACAGCCGCGTACACGCAGAGGCTGGAGGGACGACACAGAGAATTCACATTATACACTTTTTGGGCTGAGCGGTAACATTTACAGAACTGGTCACAGTTTGGGGAAGATCCTTCTCTGTTCCAGCATGTGTGCCCCTCTGTACAAAGCCGGTTCCATAAAGACATGGTGTGACCGACTGGATGTGGAGGAACTCACTTGGCCTGCACAGAACCAGGACCCCCAACCCTACTGAACACCCTTGGGCTGAATTGGAATGCTGACTGTTAGTCAGGTCTTCTCATCCAACATCAGTACTCAACCAGACAAATACCCCCAGACACCCCCCAAAGCCTTCCCAGAAGAGTGGAGGGTGTTACATCTACAAAGGGGGTCACTTCCATATTAAAGCAGAACAAAAACTCTCCCAATTATTATTTAGGATTTATATAGCGCCAACAGTTTGCGCATCGCTGAACAAAATGAAGGCAGACATTAGTTACAATACAATTTGGTACAAGAGGAGGGCCCTGATCCTTAGAGCTTACAGTCTAGGAGTCAATTAAAATGAACCATTTTAATCCTTAGGCTGCTAGCATTCATACATAGACAGAAAGATATATAAATTATTAGCTCTCAGCTAAGCACACTATCCTGCCGGCATGCCTGAGCTAAGGGCAGCTGGATTTCAGGAAGTAAATGCTACATGACTCTTCTGCCCTTATTCAAGATGGCCACAGCAAGAAATGATAGGGGAGTCATTTTCTCAACAAAATAAAGCATGGAGACACGGATGGGTTGGAGGAATTTGCTTTATTATATAAATGGATTAACCAGTTCAGCTCTTTGGACATACTACGTACGTTCAAAGAGTGAACCTTTAATCACAAGCTGATGGCTGTAGTAGCAGCCATCAGCTTGTGTGGTTTTAGTCTCCCGACTTTAGAGTGGTGCGGCGGCTCCCCAGCCACCAGTTACTTTCACAGAACCGGTGGCGTGGTGCTTCCCTCCCACCATGGTTCCTGGGCTCTGTCGATCTTAACACTGACTCCAGAATGGAGGCGATGCGAGACAGAGGCAAATTCATGTCTCAATATCACATGTAAGCAATAAAAAATGGAATTGATGATGATGTTGTCACTTCTGGTTTCAAAAACCATCATTTTCTGTCCGGTCACAACTCCCTGGCTGCCTGCTCTGCCGATCTGTGCTTGGTTAGATGGTGTGTGAAGAGCAGGGGAGACATTAGGGTCTATCAGACCTCTAATGTCTTTATATGAGTACCTGTCACCTGCCCAATGCTGTCACATGGGGGTTTATTAACCTTTCTTTGTGAAAAGCAATCAAGTGAAAAGGAAAAAAAGTAAAAAACAAAAATTATAATCTATTAAAAAAAAAAACCAAATTGCCATAACCCTCGTTGCCCCACTCATATGTGCAAATGCAAACGTAAGCCCATGCGACATACTGCAGCGAATGTCAGAGTGAGAGCAATCATTCTAACGCCAGAGCTTAGTTAAACCATTTAAACTGATAGGCTGTAAAAGCTCTTAAAGCAGAGCTCCACTGAAAAGGGAAGTTCTGCTTTAAGTTCTCGCCCCCATGTTAAAGATTGGCACCTTTGGGGAGCAGGGGGGTGGAGAGGGCACCCGAATTTGACAGATACCCGCTACCACTTCCACTGCGAACGCCTAGGCCAGGGGAAGGCAACTGTGGCTCTCCAGCTGTTGCAGGACTACAAGTTCCATCATGCCTCTGCAAGTCATAGCTGCAACTGTCAGTTTTGTTCATGTTGCAATTCCTCATGGGAAATGTAGTTCCCAACAGCTAGAGAGCAGCAGGTTTCCTAGGCGATCGGTCCCACATGGAAGTCGTCCTTCCCCCTCCCTCCCCGTAGTCTTCTGGAACACGTGACAGGTCCCAGAAGTCTCCGATTTTTATATTGTACTTGTTGTTCAATAAACCATTTTTGAGGTTAGCCTTTTTAGGTGTGCAGCCTTTTCCTTCTCTCTGTATTTTGCTCGTCCACCAGCATTGCGGTCACATTAGCGCAGCGAGCGAGAGAAACTGAGGAAGAAAAACACTGAAACACTAGTCAGTACCAGTGTGCAGAGGTGTATTTGCATTGGAAGAATAAATCCCCTCTAATGTCGGGTTCCTCGGTGTGTAGATGTTGCTACATTATGTAAATCTATGAGTTTAGTTTTTTTTAAAATTTTAGAATGAGGTGACTGAATATTGTACAGAATTTTAATGGGTGCCGTGACTTAACCACTTCCCGTCCAGCCGCTGTATATTAAACGGCCGGACGGTGGCAGTGCAGGGGCGGGTTGGCATTCAGAAACGGCGCCCGCCATTTTGGATTGTGCACGCTCCCTGGCACCGCGATCTGTTGCCCATTATGTCCTCCATACACAGTGAAACACCCGATCGCTGTATGGGACCTCTGTGTGAGGTCCCGATCATGTGATCAATGATTGGCCAATCAGTGATCACATGAATAGGTGTAAGCAAGATGTCACTTCTGACATCATTGCTTACTACGTGTGAAATCTGTGAATGATCACCGAGGTCACATGGTACAGGGCTATTCACAACAGCCATGTACCATGTGACAAGCTGTGACCAATCACAGCTCACACAGTATTTCTCAATGGGTGCAATGGGTGCAATGGGTGTAAAAGCAATCAGTGTTAAAAAAAAAAAAAAAAAAAAAAAAAAAAAAAAAAATGTCATCACCCCCCACAAGTAGTACATTGTGTCAGGGTGACACTGTATTTCTAGGGTGACAGTATGTTTAAAAAAAATAATAAAAAAAAAAATAAAAATATGAAAAATTTTTTTGAAAAATTATAATTTTTAGTTATAAACTAATTTGGGTTATTTTTTTTTACTAAAAAGATAACTTAATAAATTGTGGCCAAGATTTATGAAGAAAGATTATTTATTTACAAAATTTTATAAGAAAAACACTTTTTTTCTCAATTTTTGGACTTTTTTTATATATATATATTTATATATATATATATATATATAAATAAATATCGCAGTGGTAAATAAATACCACCAAAATAAAGTTTTATCGGTCTCAAAAAAATGCTAAAAAATTAATATGGGTACAGTGTTGCATGACCGCGCAATTGTCATTCAAAGTGTTATAGCGCTGAAAGCTGAAAATTGGCCTGGGGGGGGGGAAGGGGGGGGTGAAAGTGTCCGGACCGGGGTGAAGGGGGGGTGAAAGCGTCCGGACCGTGAAAGCGTCCGGACCGGAAGGGGGTGAAAGGTCCGGACCGGAAGGGGGTGAAAGTGTCCGGACCGGAAGGGGGGGGACCGGAAGGGGGTGAAAGCGTCCGGACCGGAAGGGGTGAAAGCCGGACCGGAAGGGGGGGGGGACCGGAAAGTGAAAGCGTCCGGACCGGAAGGGGGGGGGTCCGGAAGTGTCCGGACCGGAAGGGGGGGGGGAAAGTGTCCGGACCGGAAGGGGGTGAAAGTGTCCGGACCGGAAGGGGGTGAAAGTGTCCGGACCGGAAGGGGGTGAAAGTGTCCGGACCGGAAGGGGGTGAAAGTGTCCGGACTGGAAGTGGTTAAAGGTTGGGAAACCCTGCTACAGATCTCAACTGGTTAAATAGCATTTTCAGTTTGTGGTGCTCAGACAGTTTAGTTTCTGCTTTATTCCCTATGGTTTTATAATGGGATGTCCCACAAGGTGTGATGGTCAGCAGTCCAAAACCTTTGGCCATATGATATATCAGACTCAACATTCACCATGCAGAAGACACGGTGCAGGTAAGTACGATGAAAGCAGCAAAGTCATTACCTGGTCTGAGACAATGAGGTTCTCTGAGTCTTCAGCAATGTTCTCCCCGATGAACATGTTGGAATTAGCAAAGAGGATATCCAGGAGATCGTGAATACAATCCAGACATTTCTTCCACATGTCCGCCTGATGAGAAAAAAAAGAGAGGAGATGTGATGCTGAGCCACACAAATACACCTTGAAATTGCCTGAAAGACCCAAACAACCTTCTCCCCAAATACTGCACTTTTCTGTCCGGCTCTTTAAAATATAACACAGCACTGGGGGGAGGAGGGGGGGGGTCGTACCTTCATGTAAGCGGCCAAGTTTGGGTTGTAATCATACAGAGAGGCCACAATGTTGAACTTTATCTTGACGGCGATCCCTTGTCCAAGGTTGTGTTCGTTTGAGATGTTTGCCAGCATGTGTAGGAGTTCGATCTGAGCCGCCCTGGTGGAAGAGAAGGAGTTAGGTGAGGAACTGTAGAGGCAAAGGGAATACATGGGCCTCCAAAAGACACAAGCTGAGCAGCAAGGCCAAAGTCGTCATCAACGGATCACAGAACTTCTCATCTGGAGCCTAGAGTTGCACTTTGCAAGTCTTATTTGAAAGCGGCCTTCCCTTCGGTCACTCAAAGTTGGGCAGCACAGTGGCTAAATGGTTAGCACTTCCCCAACTACGGCACCACCTGCCTGGAGTTTGCATGTTCTCCCTGTGCCTGCGTGGGTTTCCTCCTCCAGTTTCACACTCCAAAGACATGATGGTAGGTTAATTGTCCCTAGTATGTGTATGTATGAATGTAAGTTAGGGACCTTAGATTGTACGCCCCTTGAGGGTTACGGACAGATGTAAATGTACAATCAGGGGTGTATTTACCACATGGCATTTGCCTAGGGCGGCATTTTTCGGGGGGGGGGGGGGGGGGCAGCACTGCCCCTTGGATGAAGGGATGGAAGAAGGGACCCATGTGTCATGGGGACCTGGGGGGGGTTCCGAGAGAGGCTGTGGGTTTCATGACGGTGTATGCACAGCCCGACTCTCGTTCCTGGGGATGTCCAGAGCTGTGAAGGTGAGTGTCTTTCTCTCTCTTCGCCATGGGGGATGGTGGCTGGTGTATGGGGGGCAGTGGTAGTTGAAGGTTCGGGAGGAGGGCAGGGGTGCTCTTGGTCAATGTCAGGCTCTTTCTGCGGGGTGGGCGCCAATTTTTTTGTGTTGCCTAGGACAGCATAAAAAACCTAAATACACCTGTGTACAATAGTGTGTGTGTGTAAAGTGCTGCGTAAATTGACGGCGCTATATAAGTACCTGTAATTTTAAAAAATAAAGTTGTACAGGCCCCTCCCCTATACTGAAATGACTCTGATTTCCCTGCACACTGTGAGCTTCTCACCAAGTGCATTAGAAGCTGCAGCAAATCAGGTAGAGCTCCGCATCATTTCCTGCTGGATGACGTCATCTAGTGCTTTCCTCCCCAGTCTGACTGTCCCCGCCCCTTTCCTTCATTGGATTTCAGTTATTCCAATCATGGAGGCCCAGCATCATGGAGGCCCAGCATCACGGGGCGTTTACCCAGGGTGGTCTGCACACAAACGCAGGTGCCTAGGAATGCCCACTCCCACAGAACGACCCATTTAAGCATTTTTATTTTTGCATAGCTCCTCCCAAGAGCCCAACTGCTTGTATCAGGAGAGGAGTCCCGAGGAAGGTTGCTGTGATGTTTTCAGAAAGCTATATACAGCACCTTGCTGCTACCCTCCCACCAGCCATGACCTGCCGGAATTGCACAGTTGCTGAATGGTTAGCATTTCAGCCTATCAGCACTAAGGTCATTGGTTCGAATCCCAACCATGGCACTACCTGGCTGGAGCGTACATGTTCTCCCTGGCCTGAGTGGGTTTTTTATGTATACTCCGGTTTCCTCCCACACTCCAAAGACATGCTAATAGGTTGACTGTCTGAATTGTCCCTAGTGTGTGTATGTATGCGAGTTAGGGACCTTAGATTGTACGCCCCTCGGGGGCGGGGACTGATGTGAATGTACAATATATATGTAAAGCGCTGTGTACATTGATGGTGCTATAGAAGTACCTGAAATAAATTGCAGAGAGACCCAGTGATGAACAGACTGGCTCTACAATCATAACGTTATGAATAGAGAAAAAGTTTATATAAAATAAAACATTTACTAGCATGTTGATGAGGGTTGCTGAAATGGGAAGGGGAGGGGGGAGATAGGTGTTGGAAACAAGGTGCTGCAAAATATAGGCAACTTCTAGAGGTTGATGACAAAACTCCTATAGGGAGCGAATCCCTTCAGGCTGGAAACACGCAAAGTCGTCACATAGTTACAGTTGACTGTGTGGATGCTGCGACTTACCTGTCTGTGCCTTTCTTTCCTCTGGCCTGGAGGATCTCGTTCAGCTTCTTCACCACAATGGGGGGAGTGATCTCTGTGCCTTTGGCAAACATCTTTGGTTTCTCCTAAAGATAAAGGACACGGTTACGGAGGTGGCCGGAAGAGAGTACATGTTCCCACAATGCCTTCAGTTGGCTCTTACCTTAACCATTGGGGCGCCTCCTTTGACCTTCTCCCACTCTCCTCCACCTCCTTCCTCATCCTCTTCACCCTCTTCCTCTCCCCTTTTCTTCAGTTTACGATGTTGCTTCTTCTTTTCTTTCTTTTTCTCTAAAGTTTGGCGATCCCCTTCAGGAACCGTCCTAAAATATGGAGAAATTGCAGGGAAAATTATGCATTCCGAAATTAAAGTAGACCTACAGGTAAAATTTATTTTTTCCTGTCAGTATTTTGTTTCACCATCTGTGCCCGATTGGGGAGAAATCCCTTCACTTCCTGCCCCATAGCCAAACGGGAAGTAAGAGGGAATCCCTACAAATTAACTTTTGGCAACAGTGCCTCCCGGCCCTTTAAAAGTTTCAGAAGTGAGGAGGCGGGGCGGGGGTTTTAGCATCATGTGACCGCCGTGATTCGCCGTCACATGATCGGAAAAGGTCCCGATCTAAAGGGGCGATCGGGACCTTTCCGGGAGTAGCACACATATGTGTGCTAGGAGTACGCTCTCTCAGCACATATGTATTTTAAATGGCATGCAAATATGCGGCCGCTCGGAGTCAAGGCCCAGACGCCAAGAGGCTGCATATTTGCGTGCAATCAGCGTCAAGGGGTTAATGGAATTTCTTGGGCACCGCCGTGATTCGCTGTCACATGATCGGAAAAGGTCCCGATCCAAAGGGGAGATCAGGACCTTTCCGGGAGTAGCGGACATATGTGTGCTGGGCGCTCGCTCTCAGCACATATGTATTTTCCAATGGTACGCAAATATGCGGCCGCTCGGTGTCAAGGCCCAGATGCTGAGAGGCTGCATATTTGCGTGCAATCGGTGTCAAGAGGTTAATGGAATTTCTTGGGCACAGCCAGATCACCAGAACTAGTGTCCCCATTGGAAGATTTCCCCTCTATTACTTTTTTAGGGACAACCCAAAACTTGGGATTTTCTTTTACTTTCAATGATGACGGTAAACCTGACAAGTCGTACCCCATGGTTTTCAATGACAACCATTCAAAGATGTACAACGTAAGGTGTGCTACACCCCCCTAGTGTCAGTACAGAATGACATACGGGTACATTGCTTTGCCTGTACATAACACCCGCCTGCAGTAAAAGTGCTGTAGGTGGTTGGCAAGTGGCTAGTTGAAGTTATCTTTTTGAAGATTTCTCCCTGCAATTCTTAGGTCCTCAACTGGGCAAGAATGACGTGTCACTTGTCCATAGCCTCCTCAGATGTCCACATCACTCATCCCAGGAGGCCGCAGGGTATGCTACTGTACATGCCCCATGATGCATCATTACTGCAGTCTTTCCCTGGTACTTTCAGGACCCACTGATGACATGACTCAGCACACACACGTCATCTGGGGCTAGCTGCAAGAACCAGATGATGGCGGTACATGGGACCTGGTGTGCAGCAACACCGCAGGATTTGTGAGTGTGAAGTTCCACTCACCCTGTCAAAAATAAAAGTCAGCAGTTACAAAAACTGTAGCTGCTGACTTTTAAAAAACAGTCACTCACCTGTCCCATGATCCCGCAGTGACCCCGCCGCAGCCCGTTTCACTGGCCATCTTCTCTCCCTGGTGCCAGCATCTTCAGTGTGGGCACCCGGCTGTGACAGCTTGTGGGCACAGATGGGCGGCACTGATGGGCACAGATGGGCGGCACTGATGGGCACAGATGAGGAGGCACTGGGTGATGCTGCACTAATATGCAGCAATGATGGGCACAGATAGGCAGCAATGATGGGTATTGATGAGGTGGCACTGATGGGCACGGATAGGCAGCACTGATGGGCATTGATAAGGAGGCACTGGGTGATGCTGCACTAATATGCAGCAATGATGGGCACAGATAGGCAGCACTGATGAGCAATGATGAGGTGGCACTGATGGGCACGGATAGGCAGCACTGATGGGCATTGATGAGGTGGCACTGATGGGCACGGATAGGCAGCACTGATGAGCATTGATGAGGCACTGGGTGTGATGCTGCACTAATATGCAGCAATGATGGGCACGGATAGGCAGCACTGATGGGCATTGATGAGGAGGCACTGGGTGATGGTGCACTAATATGTAGCAATGATGGGCACCACTGCTGGGCACTGATGATCAGGGCACAGATAATCAGTGCCCTGATTATCAGTGCAGATCTGCTCTAACATTTGCTGGTTATCGGCAGTATTTTCCTCACGCTGCTGCCGATAATCGGCAACTGTATTTATTTTGTGATCGGTTGTGTCATTGGGCTCATGTGGTAAAAGGCCGCTGTGATTGGCATTTTACCTCATCATGTGATGTCACACGACGACCCTCCCAGAACTGGACAACCGCACTGGACCCGTCTTTCGGCTACAGTGTGGTTGTGAAGTGGTTAAGAAAACTACATTTTCCAGGAGGCAGAGTTTTTGCTGAAAGAGACTTTATAAATCTCCTCTGCCAAAGAAATTACTGTATCTTCTGTTCAGTGAAAAAACTTTCATCACCAGTACAATGAGAGCCGTGTACAGTCCTGGGCCAGTCACAGCATCTGTAGGGTGCCAAAAGCAGAGCCTGATGTGGAGATAATGTAAACAGAGCACACGAGGAGATACATCAGCAGCTACCCGATCGGTAAAGCATGAAGATGCTGGACCCCACAGAACACCCCCAACTCACTTCTTCAAGAATTTGGAAGCCAGCGAAGTATATTTGCCTTCATCATCCTCAGATTCGGAGTCAGAGTCCTCGGAGTCAGAGCCCCAGTCTTCATCATCAGAGGATTCCTCTTCATCTTCAGCCTCCTGTAGAAAAGTTACATTCAGGCCACCATACATTTTAGTACTTCCTGTCTAATCTCATACATTCTACAAATTCTGCAGTTGTACACTTCACTGTTGTGCTACAGGAATGCAAAAGTAACTGAAAGATGACAGAACTCTCATTCGGACTTCTCCTCACCTCTGTTTTTTTCAAATATTTGCTTCGGGTGTCTTGTGGTGCGGCTTCCATCTTTTTCAGGAACTTGCTGGCGCTCATACCTTCATCCTTCTCATCCTCGCTAGAAGACGACGCTGGAAAGCAGAAGGAGAAATTAGATTGCATTGATAGCCCCAGTGTATATAAACCGACCCAAATAGAAGATAAAGATTTAAAAAATATCAAATATATTGACATATATTTGAAATACTATAATTTTGGCTGTATTCAATATATTTAAAAAAAAAATAAAATAAAAAAAATAATAATAAAAATATATATTAATAATTTGTGTACATATATATATATATATATATATATATATTACATATATATATATATATATATATATATATTCTGATTGCAATAAAAAACGCGCATTTCAAATATATTTTTTTTTTGTTGTAGGTTGAAATGCGTTTTTATTACAAAATATATGAAAAATATTTGTAAAAATACTGTATGTCTTTAACCAGTTGCCGGCCGCAGGTAGCCAATGGACGGCTGCACTGCAGCCGGCCAGTTCAGGGAGGCCGTCATATGACGCCCTCCCAGAACACGCACTCCTGCGCACCCCCTGGCGATCGCTGTGTCCTTTTGACCATGTGATCAGCCGTGTGGCCTTTTACCAATCAGATATCAAGACAAGCTGATCACCGGGAAATACAATTGCCGGTTCTCGGCTGCAGTTTCCTCACGCTGTCAGAGAGTGAGAAAAGTACTGCCGAGAACCAGCAGTTGTCAGAGGAGGGATCGGCACCGATCATCAGGGCACTGGTGAAGCAATTTGTGAAGCGAAGCAAAGAAAACACAACGTGTGAACAGGACTGTAAGCAAACCATTATATTTAGTGACAGGTTCTTTGACTGGCATTCAGAGTGCTTTAAAAAAACATGTCCAATGACAATTTTTTGAAGCAAGCCTAAATATGGCCCTTAAAGTAACAGTTCAGATCATGGAATGAACAGACTGGACAGCTAGTACTTTCTGTTATCAGCTAGCGCCTGAAATGAGTCCTGGCTTGATCTGAGCAATGCACCTCTAGCACTTTGGATAATATGTGGGCATCCAGCTTTGTGCAACACTTTAGTCCTGATTTTATCAATATGTGAACTAGGGCCGTATGAGGATTCCTCACCTTCTGAGTCGTCATCTTCATCCTTCTCCTGATCTTCATCAGCTGATTCTTCGGGATTCTGGAAAACACAAAGACCACAAGTGGGTATTGTAGCAAACTAGCTCATCAGAGTTGGACGCGGAGTTCCCCTTTTTCTTTTAGTGGAAGTATTCCTTATTCCTCACACTCCCTACCCCTCCCTTCCTGAGAGGCAAACGTTATCTCCTGAGTGACAGATGGCGGGGGTCAATCCAAGTTAAGGCATCCTCAGTCCGGTGCCAGGCCGTCTGCGGAAGTGTAACTTTTCTCACTTAAAAGCACTGACCTGAGAAACTTGTGTAGGCTCACCCATCATAAAAACAGAGAAGACAGCTTCTCCCCAGACTTGAAAGAAGTTGGAACCTCATAAACTGACCAGCAGTTAATTGAACATTCCTCAGGTCAGCTGTCACCTATGTTTCATATCATGGATTATGAAGCTGTTAGTTTTAATTGAGAGTCCACTGACATCCTGCCCAAAATATTGTATTGGGCAGACTAGAGCCACCCCCCCTTGCAGAGGGGCAATTTAAAAAAGGCGGGGGGTACAGGCTGCAAGCCTGGAGTTTTAGCTGAGTTTAAGACACACATCTCCTGACACATCTTAACATCATAACAGAGGAGATCAAAAGACCCTTCCTGCTCTGCACTTGGATCTGCTTACAAACTGAGGCATATTGGCAAGTAACTTAACTCTTTAATTTCCTTCCTATTATCTCTTTGCTGTACCTTTATATGCATATATATAGTTACATTTTCTTTGTAAATATTTTATTGCACCTGTTTGACTCTTTTAGTAATAAATCTTTCTTTCTGAAAGTGTTAAACTGTTTCTAAGCGCTTACTTGCAATTCACGAATTCCTGCCTTTGAAGAGACGCTACTGTGTTTGTTTAATCCTCTGCCCAATCGGCCTGCGGTGATCGTATTGGACAGGTGACGTTTCAATCATTATAGTGTATATTTGATAACGGGAGTTTCCCAGTCTCCGACAAAAGTGGTGGTGGCAGTAGAGGGTTAGTTGCATAATTAACCCAACCCAGTAACAAGCGCATTCAGGCTGCAGGCACCGATTGTAGCCCATTAGCTGGACAATCGCTGTGCAGGGTGCAGCCTTGTTACGCGCATCACACCGTGGTTTTAGATCGGCCGGTCCTTCGGTCACGAGTTGGTGAGAAGGTCTGCGGTCTGACGCCACGGGCGTGGCGTATTGCTGTTAGTCGCGGTCGTGCGATTGTCACATGTTGGTGGCGGCGACCGTGCGATCGTGACAGGTATAGCATGACAGACACCCACATACACAGCATAAGACACCTTACAGCCACCTTGAAAATGGGAAACCTGATTCTCATCCAAGATTCCTTAAGGTTTGGGAACCTTGGAGAGGTTACTCCTTGCCATCCCTGCCTCCTACTAGTTATGGCCTCATAGTCGCTGCTTGTGTTAGCCCTGGATCTGTGAGATTCTTCTAGTTTTCCTTTCCTTCAATGTTTTCGGATTCCTTTTTTTTTTTTTTTTTTTTCTTATTACTCTTCTTTTTCTGGTAATATGTTGGATTACTGCTGCTATTATTTGGTTCAGCTTTTTGCCGTCCCTCCTTGCTGTCATTGGACATTTCGTTATTTGCCTAATACAAGTCAGCAGGATGTATATGTTTAATGTGTTATTGTTCTGCTCTGCCCCTGTGTGGGCGTATCTTGAGCTTGCTGTATTCTTAAAACAAATCTTTAATAAAAATATTGAAACAGAAAATGGGAAACCAATAAAAGTAAAAAAAAAAATAATAATCTGAGGTTGCCTCTCCCTGCTCAATATGCTCCAGAGCTGTCCCCAACCAATCAGCCCCAGAGGTCCTCTTTGGGCAGAACACTGGCATCCTGCCGGTTTCCTGTAAGCCCAGCCCCCCCCCCCAGGGCAGAGGCATCAAACTCAATTTTATGATGTGCCACATCGACATTATGGTTGTCCCCGAAGGGCCGAGTAAATCTAAGACTATATAATGTATCCAGGATATTTTATTCTCAGAATAGGTGCAGCCCCCCCATTTTAACAGTGTTACTTGATCTACACGGCCCATGTGCCGGTAGGTGTCACTGACAAGTCTATACCGGGGAATGGCGGCTCACCTGTTTGTACGCCGTTATCGGAGCTTCGAAATCCCGGTTGTACTTGCGCAGTTTCTGCCGCAGCGTGCTCAGAGCTTTGGCGTTGTTCTTATTCATCTTCTTCTTGCCCTCTTTATCCTCCCAAAGCTGCAAAAAAATGAAAGCCAGTCAGTAAAAGGCAGAGGAAAGCTTGTTTAAATGAAAAGATTTCAGTGATCCGAGAAGTAATGCAGGCCATACATGGGTCGAATTCCGAACGATTTTTAATCCGAAAACGTCGTTCGCTCGGTAATACGATGGTGTCATCAATTTCGAAAATCGGCCTACCAAGTTATAAAGTTCTCCCTATATAACAGGCGACATTTCTGTTCCTTCCAGGTCACAGGTCATGCGAATATTCTTTTCGGAAAAAACGATCGTACGATTTGACCGTCACTGAGTCAAAAATCGGTTGTTTTTCATGAATTTTCCAACATGCCCGATCACTGAAAAGGGGAGGAACCATGAAAATCGGCCGGTGCCATTGACCAACAGAGCGAAAATCGGGCGATTATCCTTAGATCGGACAAAAAATCTGTCGTCGGATTTCGACCCATGTATGGCCGGCCTAAGCAATGTACATCGATAGAAGTCCCATCCTGTCAGTGGATCGTCTCTCAGACGAGAGCTTCTCACCTCATTCAAATAGTCCTCCAGATCAGACAGGAGACGAATGTAGAAACGGGGGACGCCCTCTTTGTCGATGATGTTCTTGGACTTGATGTAAGCCTTGCCCAGCTGCTCGAACTCCTCCAGGCATTTGGTCATGTCTCGAATCTTCATGGCGTTACGAATTGTCTTGATGATGTTGGTCAGCTCCTCAAACCTGTTACGAGAAAAATGAGCATCGACTCTTAGCCTGGGTTCACACCTCTGCAGTTTGCGTTTGACCTGTTTCTGCAGTGTATTTCGCTTTGCCTTTTTGCACTATCCAGGAAAAAGCCAGCTGCATCCTAACAACGGAGGTTGCTAGGCAGCAACAACCACCTGTTTTCCTGCAACAAAGGATGCTAGGTGGCTTACTTGGAAAGCCATTTCTGTTCCAGCCACAAAGGGCAATAAACGCCAATAGCAGACTGCATTGTAGGAAAAGGAAGATGTTTGGCAGCTTCCATGAGAATCTATCCAAGCCCTAGCAACAGAGGACACCAGGTTGCAATAGCTTCCTGCGTCCAAGCAGCAGGGAACTACTAGGTGGCAACAGCTGTCTGCATCCTAGCAATGAAGAATGCTAGGTGCCAATAGCCACCTGCGTCATAACAACTGAGGATGTTAGGCAGCTTCCTTGAGAAGCCCCAGCGTCCTAGCAACAGAGGACACTAGGTGGCAATAGCTGCCTGTGTCCTAGCAGCAGAGTATGCTAGATAGCTTCCTTGAAAAGCCAATAAACGTGTCTTGGTAACAGAGGTTGCTAGGTGTCTGCCTTTGAGACCTAGCAACAGAAGGCACTAAACGGCAATAGCTGCCTGCATCCCAGCAACAGAGGATGTTATACAGCTTCCTTGAAAAGCCAACAACGCTAATAGCAGACTGCACCCTAACAACAATGAATGCTATTCAGCTTCCTTAAGAAGCCACCAGCGTCTGAGCAACAGAGGATGCTAGGCCACAATAGCAGCCTGTGTCTTGGCAACAGAGGTTGCTAGGTGTCTGCTTTTGCCTTTGAGACCTAGCAACAGAGGGCACTGGGCAGCAATAGCTGCCTGCATCCTAGCAACAGAGGATGTCGTACAGCTTCCTTGAAAAGCCAATAAACGCTAATAGCAGACTGCACCCTAACAACAATGAATGCTATTCAGCTTCCTTAAGAAGCCGCCAGCGTCTGAGCAACAGAGGATGCTAGGCCACAATAGCTGCCTTTGTCTTGGCAACAGAGGTTGCTAGGTGTCTGCCTTTGAGACCTAGCAACAGAGGGCACTGGGCAGCAATAGCTGCCTGCATCCTAGCAACAGAGGATGTCATACAGCTTCCTTGAAAAGCCAATAAACGCTAATAGCAGACTGCACCCTAACAACAATGAATGCTATTCAGCTTCCTTAAGAAGCCGCCAGCGTCTGAGCAACAGAGGATGCTAGGCCACAATAGCTGCCTGTGTCTTGGCAACAGAGGTTGCTAGGTGTCTGCCTTTGAACCGAGCAACAGAGGGAACTAGACGGCAATAGCTGCCTGCATCCCAGCAACAGAGGATGTTATACAGCTTCCTTGGGAAGCCGACTGCATCCTAGCAACAGGGCCATTTACACTGTGATGTTATATACATGTAAGTATTCCTCAAACATTACATACCCTCAGTGTAAAGAGCCGTTTGTAAACAGAATCTTGCTACCTGCCAGATCCTGCATACTAGTTGCTTTCATTTCATACAGCTGTGTGCATGTTCCCCAAGGATGAAAATGGTACAAGACCTCAGAACAAATTCTGGACAGTTGAGGAAGGACTGCGTAAGTGTTGGAACTTTATAAAAAGACGTCGCTTTAACCCGCAGAGTACGGAGTAAGATGCTTCCAGTGACAGTAGGCCACCAACGGGCAGACAAGGAACATACCTTTTATCCTTGGCGCTGCGCACCACACGCTTGGTGTCCTCTTCATCGTCACTGAGGAGAAGCGGCCTGAATTTTTGGAAAAAAAAAAAAAAAAAACAATATAAGGTCAGTAAGTGACGTGGATTGATCAACCTCAGTCTACAGTCCAGCCGCTGCGGCACGTGAGAACGGTGCAGGATATGGAGAGGTACTCACTGCTTGCCGAAGGTTCCTCCCACTGGCTTGGGCAGGATTTCATCTCCAGACAGGGATGACTCCGACTCGCTGTCCGAGGCAGTGGCGAAAAATCGAGACATTTTGCCGGCTTTAACGAGTCACACAACACTGCAAGGCAAAAAGAGCAAATAAATGTCCAGATTGTGGGGGTGTAAGGAAAAAAAGTGAGAACTCCAGAATAATGCAACAACCAAACTAAGGAGGCAACACAATTCAGGAGAGGAGGGATGGTGGTGACCTCATGCCGGGAAACAGCTGTCTCAGCACTTATTTAGCAGCTTTCTCATCTGGGACCCGTGTGAAGGACCAAAAATGTTCAGAGAATCTGCACACTAGCAACTACCACACCTGAACTTCCACTGGAGGATTGTGGGTGGGGGAAGGGTGCAAATCGTATGACCCAGAGGGACGACTAATGTAAACCTGCCAGCTTCCAAGACCACAGTTCTCGCTAGCCTATGAGGTCACTCCTGTCAATTAGACTGCTAGCTCCTGGGTTCAGTCTTGAACATTGCAGAGTTAAATCCTGACCATTATAGTGCTAGCTCCTGGGATCACTCCATGCCATTAGAGTGGTAGCTCCTGGGATCACTCCATGCCATTAGACCTCTAACTCACAGGGTCACTCCTGTCCATAATTAGACTTCAAGCTTTTGTGGTTTTTCACCCCCTGACCATGAGAGTGCCAGCTCCTGCGATCACTCCATGCCATTAGAGTGCTAGCTCCTGGGATCACTCCATGCCATTAGAGTGCTAACTCCTGGGATCACTCATGCCATTAGAGTGCTAGCTCCTGGGATCACTCCATGCCATTAGAGTGCTAGCTCCTGGGATCACTCCATGCCATTAGAGTGCTAGCTCATGGGGTCACTCCATGCCATTAGAGTGCTAGCTCATGGGGTCACTCCATGCCATTAGAGTGCTAGCTCCTGGGGTCACTCCATGCCATTAGAGTGCTAGCACCTGGGACCACTCCTGACCTATAGACCTCTAGTTCATAGGGTCACTCCAGTCAATAATTAGACTAGAAGCTCCTGTGGTTTTTCACCCCTGACCATTAGAGTGCTAGCTCCTGGGGTCACCTCTGGCCATTAGAGTGCTAGCTCCTGGGGTCACCTCTGGCCATTAGAGTGCTAGCTCCTGGGGTCACCTCTGGCCATTAGAGTGCTAGCTCCTGGGGTCACCTCTGGCCATTAGAGTGCTAGCTCCTGGGGTCACCTCTGGCCATTAGAGTGCTAGCTCCTGGGGTCAGTCCTGGTCATGAGAACGCAAGCTCCTGGAGTCCGTCCTGACCACTAAAGTGCTAGCTCCTGGGGTCAGTCCTGGCCATTAGAGTGCTAGCTCCTGGGGTCAGTCCTGGCCATTAGAGTGCTAGCTCCTGGGGTCAGTCCTGGCTTTTAGAACGCTAGCTCTCGGGGTCAGTCCTGACCTTTAGAACGCTAGCTCTCGGGGTCAGTCCTGACCATTAGAACGCTAGCTCTCGGGGTCAGTCCTGACCATTAGAACGCTAGCTCTCGGGGTCAGTCCTGACCATTAGAACGCTAGCTCTCGGGGTCAGTCCTGACCATTAGAACGCTAGCTCTCGGGGTCAGTCCTGGCCATTAGAACGCTAGCTCTCGGGGTCAGTCCTGGCCATTAGAACGCTAGCTCTCGGGGTCAGTCCTGGCCATTAGAACGCTAGCTCCTGGGGTCAGTCCTGGCTATTAGAACGCTAGCTCCCGGGGTCAGTCCTGGCCATTAGAACGCTAGCTCCTGGGGTCAGTCCTGGCTATTAGAACGCTAGCTCTCGGGGTCAGTCCTGGCCATTAGAACGCTAGCTCCGGGGGTCAGTCCTGGCCACTAAAGTGTTAGCTCCTGGGGTCAGTCCTGGCCATTAGAATGCTAGTTCCCGGGGTCAGTCCTGGCCACTAAAGTGCTAGCTCCTGGGGTCAGTCCTGGCCACTAAAGTGCTAGCTCCTGGGGTCAGTCCTGGCCATTAGAATGCTAGTTCCCGGGGTCAGTCCTGGCCACTAAAGTGTTAGCTTCCAGGGTCAGTCCTGACCATTAGAACGCTAGCTCTCGGGGTCAGTCCTGACCATTAGAACGCTAGCTCTCGGGGTCAGTCCTGGCCATTAGAACGCTAGCTCTCGGGGTCAGTCCTGGCCATTAGAACGCTAGCTCTCGGGGTCAGTCCTGGCCATTAGAACGCTAGCTCCTGGGGTCAGTCCTGGCTATTAGAACGCTAGCTCCCGGGGTCAGTCCTGGCCATTAGAACGCTAGCTCCTGGGGTCAGTCCTGGCTATTAGAACGCTAGCTCTCGGGGTCAGTCCTGGCTATTAGAACGCTAGCTCTCGGGGTCAGTCCTGGCCATTAGAACGCTAGCTCCTGGGGTCAGTCCTGGCCATTAGAACGCTAGCTCCTGGGGTCAGTCCTGGCCATTAGAACGCTAGCTCCGGGGGTCAGTCCTGGCCACTAAAGTGTTAGCTCCTGGGGTCAGTCCTGGCCATTAGAACGCTAGCTCCCGGGGTCAGTCCTGGCCATTAGAACGCTAGCTCCTGGGGTCAGTCCTGGCCATTAGAACGCTAGCTCCGGGGGTCAGTCCTGGCCACTAAAGTGTTAGCTCCTGGGGTCAGTCCTGGCCATTAGAATGCTAGTTCCCGGGGTCAGTCCTGGCCACTAAAGTGCTAGCTCCTGGGGTCAGTCCTGGCCACTAAAGTGCTAGCTCCTGGGGTCAGTCCTGGCCACTAAAGTGCTAGCTCCTGGGGTCAGTCCTGGCCATTAGAATGCTAGTTCCCGGGGTCAGTCCTGGCCACTAAAGTGTTAGCTTCCAGGGTCAGTCCTGGCCATTAGAGTGCTAGCTCCTGGGCCCAGTAAAGTGTTAGCTCTTAAGTTTAGCCCCAAGCCGCCTCTTGCTGCCCCCCACCCCCCGATCCGGCAGATATCCGCCTTCTAGGCCCAATTCCCGGCTACAGAGTACCAGCTGTTCGGTTTAGTCCTCCGTCAGCCCACGTGGCACACCGGCCCCTCACACAGCCCGCCCGCCCCAGCTACCCAAATCCAGGAACCCCCGACCCTCCTCTCACCTCTCGGTGCCGCTCACACGCGCCCGGCAAGGCTGATGAAAAGCCTGGAAAGGTCTGATAACAGTACGCCTGCGCAGAACCCACTCACCGGAAGTCACTCTCTCTTCCGGTTCCCCGGCTAACTACATCTTCCGGCATGCTCTGCTCCCCGGACTACTAACTCACTATTCCTGTGAATAGTAATACTAAAAATAAAGAAACATAATAAACTTCTAGGGGAAAACTAACATGTTGCAATTCTCTGAGGAAATCATAGGGGCTTTCTGGTGCCCGCCCACTCTTGCCTACAGCCAATAAGAGACGTGTCTGGTACAATAAAGGCGCCAAGACGGATTACGTGGGGGTTGGGTGTACCAATATGGCGGCTGCTGAGCAAAGTTTGGAAATATTTAGAAAATGATGGCAGCTCTACCGCCCTCTTCCCAAATCAGTCCATGAATGCCAGTACTTCCAACATTTGCTGAATCAAAGCAGAGCATGGGGGTCAGGCAGGGGGCAGTACACGGGGCAGCAGGGCAGAGCATGGGGGTCAGGCAGGGGGCAGTACATGGGGGAACAGCAGGGCAGAGCATGGGGGTCAGGCAGGGCAGAGCATGGGGGTCAGGCAGGGGGCAGCAGTGCAGAGCATGGGGGTTAGGCAGGGGGCAGCAGGGCAGAGCATGGGGGTCAGGGAGGCACACAGTGATTCACATCACCTGGCACAGAACAGGACACGGGGCACACAATAGGGCAGATTATGGGACACGGGGCACACAGTAGGGCACATCACCTGGCACAGGACACGGGGCACACAGTGGGGCACATTATGGGGAACAGGACACGGGTCACACAGTGGGGCACAGAACAGGACACGGGGCACACAGTGGGGCACATTACAGGGTACAGAACTGGACGTGGGGCACATTACAGGGCACAGAACAGGACACGGGGCACACAATAGGGCACATTACGGGGCACAGAACAGGACACGGGGCACATTATGGGGCACAGAACAGGACACGGGGCACATTATGGGGCACAGAACAGGACACGGGGCACACAGTAGGGTACATCACCTGGCACAGAACAGGACACGGGGCACAAAGTGGGGCACAGAACAGGACACGGGGCACAATATGGGGCACAGAACAGGACACGGGGCACACAGTAGGGCACATTATGGGGCACACAGTGGGGCACAGAACAGGACATAAGGGGCACACAGTAGGGCACATCACCTGGCACAGAACGGGGCACAAAACAGGACACGGGGCACACAGTGGGGCACAGAACAGGGCACGGGGCACACAGTAGAGCACATTACGGGGCACAGAACAGGACACGGGGCACAGAACAGGGCACGGGGCTGTTATGATCCGCCAGGTGGTGCCTCTGGCAGCCCACTTGACAGACCTACCCAAAGCGTGGAGTCTAAGTCCCGGTCTGTGCTTTCACCAGGGCCCCTGATGGTGGGGATGGACTTGAAACAGACCAGGACCAGGTCACGACCTCTGAGCAAGCCCACCAGTGGCAGAGGGAACCTCCGGGGATGTATAGGTACCGGGAGAGCCAGATGTGAGGAGGACGGCGGGACCTAGCAGGATAGTTCACGAGCAGTGGTCCCGTGGGGTAGGCGAGGTACAGAAACGGCAGGCGGAGAATCGGCAGGTCACACGCAGGGTCAGCAGGATAAGTCAGTCCGTAGGTAGGTCAAAACAAGCCGGGAGTCGGGAGGGGAGAAGGCAGAGTAGTCAGGACAATCCGGGTCAAATACAGGAGAAGGCAGCGTAGTCAGGACGATCCGGGTCAAACACAGGAGAAGGCAGCAAAAATCAGGGTCAATAACTAGGTACAGGATCCAGGAACACAGATAGACCTTGTGGCGATAGTGACAGTGCAGGGCATCTTTAAATATTGCGCCCTGCACTGTCATTGGCCGTCCAGGACGCGCCCCCGGGCTGTCATTGGCCGCCCGAGGCGCGCCCGCGGGCTCCTACTGCGCATGCGCGGCGTCCTGTCATCTGCGGCTCGCCGGGACCTGGTGCTTGTGTCCCGGCGTGAGCCGTCGCCAGTGCGCGTGCGCCGGCCGACAGGACGCCGCGCTTCCTGACGGGCACACAGTAGGGCACATTACGGAGCACAGAACAGGACACGGGGCACACAGTAGGGCACATTACGTGGCACAGAACAGGACACGGGGCACACAGTGGGGCACATGGTTGCAGTACTTTCCTGGCACTGGCATCCTCCAGACTCATCACTGAATCTCTAGACTCCTAGTGCAGAGAACCTAAAGAAAGATTACACGGTCCCACCCGACACGCCAGGAATAACGAGACCTCTCATGGCGCACTCCTCCCCGGCGACCCCTCCGCTCTTCTCCTCAGTCCCAGCTAATGCCACATACAAGCTCCTGGGGTGGATGGCAGGGAAGGAGAGGCCGGCAGGGAGCAGCGCACCACGAGGGGTCTGCTGACAGACACTTCCTATGCTGCTCTGCATGTGTTGGCTGAGCAGAGCCTCTCATGGGGCCCCCTATTGACCCCAGGCAGTGCCAAAGTGCCTGATGGGTCAGTCCACCCCTGGTGCACTTTATCTTTGGATGTTTTCTTACTCCATGTGGGTAGAGTGTGACATGACACAGTGGGCCCCCTGCCCTTGGGGCCCGTGTGCACCGCACACCCTGCATACATGGATGATACGCCGTTGTATTGCACCCTAAACACGGATGATGTAATGTGTTGCTAAAGATGGAGCTAGTCTTTAAAGAGACAAATCAGGAAATGAGCATGTATTGCAGAGATGTACGGCACCGACCTGTACAAACATCACCCAGGACAGCGGAAGATGTAATGATCACACTTTCTGATCATAGAGACTCGTTATCATGGAATCATTGGGCTCCAGCATACAGATATGTGAGAAATCTTTGTATCTTTATTAACCTAGTTCCCACAATAGGAAGGAATGTGTCAGTGATAACATGAAAGCCTGTAGGCTAAGAGAGAAGGATGCATCACGCAGAGGAATACGTATATTGTATATGATGAGTTCATACAAGTATATATTGGATAATCAGTACAATTACAGGATGCAAGCAAATGAAAATGTGTGATTACAGAACATGTATAGCAGACCCAGAACATTTTTTCATTACTTTTTGTGCAGCACAACCTACAATTGTGCCGCTCATTCAGTGCCCATCCCCCCCCCCCACCCCCCGTCACATTTTACACAACTGACTTCTTCTAAACAGCCGTATCATTAAGTGTTCTTGCAAGAACACTTATTGTTATCTCACAAATATACTCTTATTTTTATTATTATTATAGCCAAATTTGCCACGCTAACTCCTCCCACAGTTTTTACACTACAAAGACAAGTAATATATCCAAACGTGGTCTCCAGAAATGCGGCCCCAAACGTGCAAGGAACCTCCACCATACTTCACAGTTGCCTGCAGACATTCATTACTGTATCGCTCTCCAGCCCCTCTGCTAATAAACGGCCTCCTGTTACAGGCAAATATTTAAATTTTTGACCTATCAGTCAAGAGCACCTGATGCCATTTTCCTGCACCCCAGTTCCTATGTTTTTGTGCTTCGTTGAGTCGCTTAGCCATATTGAAGGTTTGGCTTTTTGGTCGCAATTCTTCCATGAAGACCACTTCTGGCCAGACTTCTCCGGACAGTAGACGGGTGTACCTGGGTCCCAGTGGTTTCCACAAGTTCTGTGCTGATGGCACTGCTGAACATCTTCTGATGTGGAAGGGAAGTAAGCCTGATGTGTCTGCTACATTAGGTTTCCTTGACCCACGACTGCATCTGTGTTCCTCAATGTTGCCCTTTTTCTTTGTGCTTCTTCAGAAGAGCTGGAACAGCACATCTTGAAACCCCCAGTCAGCTTTGAAATGTTTGCCTGGGAGAAACCTTGATGATGCAGTATAACTACCTTGTATCTTGTTGCTGTGCTCAGCCTTGCCATGGTGTATGACCCTTGACATTAAACTGTTTTCCATAACCTCATCTTGGTAGCAGAGTTTGGCTGTTCCTCACCAAGTTTGAGCACGGCTGTTGCTGTTTCAGTTAATGACTGTTTCATTCTACATATAAAATTGATCACCATTAGCACCTGCTTGGGTATAATTGGCTAATCATAGTTACATAGTTAGTCTGGCTGAAAAAAGACAAAAGTCCATCCAGTTCAACCAAAGAAAAAAAAAAGTTATAATCCTCCACCCACAGTTGATCCAGAGGAAGGCAAAAAAAAAAACCCCCAGCAAAGCACGATCCAATTTGCACCTACACATGACTCCAATCCTACAAAACCCTGACTTTGTGTACAAAGTGTGGAAGTGTAAGAATTGATTCTGGTTTGAAGCCAATGGGTAGTCACGCCAAATATTGATTTGGTTTAGATTTTAATTCTGTTTTTTTTGCTCACTCTGCAATGTGTAAATTGATACAAAATAATCAAATAAAATACAGTATATATTTTTGAAAAAATTCTTACTTGAAAGCATTTCTTCACACCTGTCTATAACGTTTACTGTACTGTGTCTGTAAAAAAAAACTATTGCACCCCATGTGTCATATTGAGCCATCGCTGAGTTGGGTAAGCCCTTCATCTTGCAGGCTCCTTCTAGCAGAGGTTTCGTATTTTTCAATTTTAGGAATTATTATTATACAGGATTTATATAGCGCCAACAGTTTGCGCAGCGCTTTACAAAATGAAGGTAGACGTTACAGTTACAATACAATTTGGTACAAGAGGACACAGAGGGCCCGGCTCATTAGAGCTTACCATCTAGGAGGAAGGGTTGAGTGATGCAAAAGGTAATAGCTGTGGGGGGGGGGATGAGCTGATGGAGGAAATAAATGGCAGATTTCTAGTTAGAAGCAAGATAAGAAGAGAAAGGTTTTCAGGGATCGTCTAAGGGTGCATAGATTGGGAGACAGCCAGACAGATTGGGGTAGGGAGTTCCAAATGATTGGAGAAGCTCGGGAGAAGTCCTGAAGGCGAGCATGGGAGGAGGTGACACAGGAACTAGAGAGCAGAAGGTCTTGAAGGGATCGAAGAGAGCGGTTTGGTTGATATTTTGAGACCAGGTTGGTGATGTAGCTGCAGCGCTTTACAAAATGAAGGCAAACACTACAGTTACAATACAGTTTGGTACAAGAGGAATCGGAGGGCCCGGCTCCTGGGAGATTACAATCCAGGACGAAGGGTTGAGTGATACAAAAGGTAATAGCTGTGGGGCGATGAGTTGATGGAAGAAATAAATGACGGTTTACTAGGTAGAAGCAGGATAGGCTTCTTTAAAGAGAAAGGTTTTCAGGGATCATCTAAAGGTGGATAGATTAGGAGACAGATGGACAGATTGGGGTAGGGAGTTCCATAGGATGGGAGAAGCTCGGGAGAAGTCCTGGAGGCAAGCATGGGAGGAGGTTATACGTGAACTAGAGAGCGGAAGGTCTTGGGAGGATCGAAGAGAGTGGTTTGGTTGATATTTTGAGATCAGATTGGTGATGTAGCTGGTGGCAGAGTTGTGGATGGCTTTGTAATTTGTTGTTAGTATTTTGAATTTTATTCATTGGGCGAGTGGAAGCCAGTGGAGGGATTGGAAGAGAGGGGTGGAGGACACTGAGTGGAAGCCAGTGGAGGGATTGGAAGAGAGGGGTGGAGGACACTGAGTGGAGGCCAGGGGAGGGATTGGAAGAGAGGGGTGGAGGACACTGAGTGGAAGCCAGTGGAGGGATTGGCAGAGAGGGGTGGAGGATACTGAGTGGAGACCAGTGGAGGGATTGGCAGAGAGGGGGGTGGAGGACACAGAGTGGAGACCAGTGGAGGGATTGGAAGAGAGGGGTGGAGGACACTGAGTGGAAGCCAGTGGAGGGATTGGCAGAGAGGGGTGGAGGACACTGAGTGGAGACCAGTGGAGGGATTGGCAGAGAGGGGTGGAGGACACAGAGTGGAGACCAGTGGAGGGATTGGAAGAGAGGGGTGGAGGACACTGAGTGGAAGCCAGTGGAGGGATTGGCAGAGAGGGGTGGAGGACACTGAGTGGAGGCCAGTGGAGGGATTGGCAGAGAGGGATGGAGGACACTGAATGGAGGCCAGTGGAGGGATTGGCAAAGAGGGGTGGAGGACACAGAGTGGAGACCAGTGGAGGGATTGGTAGAGAGAGGGGTGGAGGACACTGAGCGGAGGTCAGTGGAGGCATTGGCCGAGGGGGATAGCAGACACTGAATGGTTGGTAAGGTGGATGAGCCTGGCAGCAGCATTTATAATGAACTGGAGGGGGGATAGCCTATGTAAAGGTCATCCAATGAGGAGGGAGTTGCAGGAGTCCAGGCGAGAGATAAAACCAGGGAGTGAGTTAGGAGCTTTGTGATATCATTGGTTAAAAATGGGCATATTCTGGAGATGTTGCGGAGGTTGAGGAGGCATGATTTGGACAGGGATTGGATGTGGGCCTGAAAGAATAGTTCAGAATCCCCTAGCACCCTGGCATGTGGGAATGGGTTGATAGTGGTGCTGACCTGACTGAGAAATCAAGGGAAGAGGCACGCGTAGGAGATATTATAAGCTCAATTTTGGATAGATTGAATTGTAGAGAGTGGTGTAAGAAACAATTGAGTACTGTCCGTGATACTTTTTTTTATTTGCACTAACATACAATTTTGAGTACAAGCTTTCGGGGTATGTCCCCTTCTTCAAAGTCCAAGCAGTACTAAGTTAGCACTGCTTGGACTTTGAAGAAGGGGACATACCCCGAAAGCTTGTACTCAAAATTGTATGTTAGTGCAAATAAAAAAAAGTATCACGGACAGTACTCAATTGTTTCTGTCGCAAATGCACTAACACGGCTACAATCATCTCAAGCAAAATAGAGAGTGGTGTGACATCCAGTCTGATATGTCTATTAGTAAATCGGTGATACATGAGGCAACTGATGGGGTGAGGGATAGAGGTAGACTTCCATCATCTCCTGAATGCTGGCCCAGTAAGCTGCCTGTCCTGGATCAAAATAATGCGTTGCCATGGCTCGGGAGAGCTGGCACGACACCCTGGTTGAGAAACACTGGCTTAGTGACACTTTAGGCAGCACCTAGAGTTCAGATACGACTAGGTAGGATTATGACACCTAAAGAAAGGTCTACAAACCTAGAAGATGTTCAAGAAAAATGCAGCCAAATAGTTACAAGGATGATGACATGACCTAAAGGTGTCTACATAGCAAGAATGAAACCTAAAAATTATACCCGGATATTTATAAAAATAGTACTGATTTCATAGGAGGTCTTCCTCATAATAGAATAGAATAGTCCATCACCAAGCCTCCTTCAGATGTTGGATGAGAGGAGAATTGTGCTTCTCCAGAGCGTCATAGAGCTTGGCCTTGTGAGGCATACCCCAGCCCCTGCTGATCCTGTAGAGCTCCCTCATCTTCTCCTGACTTGTGGTCTTGCTGCGGACATTGTCATACTCTTCATTGGTCAGCAGCTTCTGGGCCACAAGACTATCCAGGATGGGATCCACTAGGGACACCCAATTTATCAGAGACTCCCGATACTTATCCACAAATTGCTGCTTAGCACCACTGAGTAGAACCAATACACCTGCAACAATAGAAATGTAGGTTACCATGAATTCTCTATCATTATAATTATTATTTTTTTAACAGTTGGCCTACTGAAAAGTCGTATTTCAAATATAAGTATACAGATAGCCCCTGGAGTTTTGTAAATCCTGGATATGTCAAAAGTGAGATCTCCCATTCATAATTCGTATTTCCCTGTCCACTTGGGAGTTTTTGAGTGTCCCTGTCCACCTTTTTGTGTTCCAGATCCTCAATGGTGTTGGTTGCAGTCCCTCTTAATGTGCACAGCTTATGTCCAGATCCATGAACTTAGTACAGGGATGATGGGAACCCCTTACAATGGGTACAGCAGGTGTACAGACTCAAGAACCCAGCACAGGGATGGTGGAAACTCCTCATAATGAGTGCAGCAAGTGTACAGACTGAGGGAACTCAGCACAGGGATGGTGGGAACCCCTCATAATGGGCACAGCGGGTGTACAGACCTGGGAACTCAGCACATGGAGTGGTAGAGACTAGTAGAGGCTACAGACTTCTCTAAATTATCTAGATACAGTATATATATATTTTTGCATAATAAAATCTACATGTAATACCTTTGGGCTTTGTACATTTTTGCACCTTTGTACGCAATTCTTCAACTTCTCCTACAAAAAAGAAACTTGTTAAATCAGTGTTTTTTTTTCTTTTATCTATAAAATGCAATATTTAATAATTATAGAAATGATAGAAGCAATATCCATCACTGGATACACGAAAATAGTACTGTATATACTGGGACATATCCTGTACTATGTATACTGACACATATCCTGTACTGTATATACTGACACATATCCTGTACTGTATATACTGACACATATCCTGTACTGTATATACTGGGACATATCCTGCACTGTATATACTGACACATATCCTGTACTGTATATACTGACACATATCCTGTACTGTATATACTGGGACATATCCTGCACTATATATACTGACACATATCCTGTACTGTATATACTGGGACATATCCTGTACTGTATATGCTGGGACATATCCTGTACTGTATATGCTGGAACATATCTGGTACTATATATACTGGGAATATCCTGTACTGTATCTACTGGGACATATCCTGTATGCCATGTTTCACATGACTGTCATATTGACTGCCATATGCCTTTAAGTGTTTTCTATGTCTTGTCTCTGCTCCTCCCTTTCCTTTGGTTTAGTTAATGTTGAATAGACAGCCCCTTCTCCCCCTTTCCCAAGAATGCATTGCAGTTCTAGCCTCATATCATGGAGCAAAAAACATGATCTTTTGACCTATCGAATGTTCATTGTTGTAAGATTCTTTCAGTTTATGGAATAAACTTCACAAGATCTACAAGATGTCTTATTGATTGAGTCACTGACTATGGTATCCAACTGAGGTTGAAGTTATCGCTATCTTATCACAACTGTAAGTTACAGAGATCACTATCAATGCTTAGATTGGAGAGACAGAACACTGTACTGTATCTACCGGGACATATTCTGCACTATATATGTTGGGACATATCCTGTACTATATATACTGGGACATATCCTGTACTATATATACTGGGACATATCCTGCACTATATATACTGGGACATATTCTGCACTATATATGTTGGGACATATCCTGTACTATATATACTGGGACATATCCTGCACTATATATACTGGGACATATCCTGCACTGTATATACTGGGACATATCCTGCACTGTATATACTGGGACATATCCTGTACTATATATACTGGGACATATCCTGCACTATATATACTGGGGACATATCCTGTACTATATATACTGGGACATATCCTGCACTATATATACTGGGACATATCCTGTTCTGTATATACTTATACAAATCCTGTAATGTATATGCTGGAACATATCTGGTACTATATATACTGGGATATATCCTGTACTGTATATACTGGGATATATCCTGTACTGTATATAATGGAACATATCCTGCACTATATATACACTGGGACATATCCTGTGATACAGTATATATATAATATATATATATATATACACACTTGGGCATATCCTGTACTGTATATACTGAAACATATCCTGTACTATATATACTGGGCTATATCCTGTACTGTATACATATACTTGGGCATATCTTGTACTATGTATACTGAGACATATCCTGCACTGTATATACTGGAACATATCTTGTGATATATAAACATATATCCAACTTTGATGACGACCCCCAAACACACCTCAAAGACCACCACTGCCTTGCTAAAGGTGATGGACTGGCCAAGCATGTCTCCAGACCTAAACCCTATTGAGCATCTGTGGGGCCTCCTCAAACGGAAGGTGGAGGAGCGCAAGGTCTCTAACATCCACCAGCTCCGTGATGATGTCATGGAGGAGTGGAAGACGGAAGGTGGAGAAGCTCAAGGTCTCTAACATCCACTAGCTCCGTGATGTCGTCATGGTGGAGAGGAAGAGGACTCCAGTGGCCACCTGTGAAGCTCTGGTGACCTCCATGCCCAAGAGGGTTAAGGGAGTGCTGGAAAATAATGGTGGCCACAAAAACTATTGACACTTTGGGCCCAATTTGGACCTTGTTACTTAGGGGTGGACTCACTTTTGTTGCCAGCGGTTTAGACATTAATGGCGGTGTGTTGAGTTATTTTTTGAGGGACAGCAAATTTCCATGTTATACAACCTGTACACTGACTACGTCACATTGTAGCAAAGTGTCATATTGACACAAATGTGAGGGGAGGACTCACTTCTGGGAGATACTGTATAATATATATATATATATATATATATACAGTCAGGTCCATAAATATTGGGACATCGACACAATTCTAACATTTTTGGCTCTATACACCACCACAATGGATTTGAAAATGAAACGAACAAGATGTGCTTTAACTGCAGACTGTCAGCTTTAATTTGAGGGTATTTACATCTAAATCAGGTGAACGGTGTAGGAATTACAACAGTTTGCATATGTGCCTCCCACTTCTTAAGGGACCAAAAGTAATGGGACAATTGGCTTCTCAACTGTTCTATGGCCAGGTGTGTGTTATTCCCTCATTATCCCAATTACAATGAGCAGATAAAAGGTCCAGAGTTCATTTCAAGTGTGCTATTTGCATTTGGAATCTGTTGCTGTCAACTCTCAAGATGAGATCCAAAGAGCTGTCACTATCAGTGAAGCAAGCCATCATTAGGCTGAAAAAACAAAACAAACCCATCAGAGAGATAGCAAAAATATTAGACGTGGCCAGAACAACTGTTTGGAACATTCTTAAAAAGAAAGAACACACCAGTGAGCTCAGCAACACCAAAAGACCCGGAAGACCATGGAAAACAACTGTGGTGGATGACCGAAGAATTCTTTCCCTGGTGAAGAAAACACCCTTCACAACAGTTGGCCAGATCAAGAACACTCTCCAGGAGGTAGGTGTATGTGTGTCAAAGTCAACAATCAAGAGAAGACTTCACCAGAGTGAATACAGAGGGTTCACCACAAGATGTAAACCATTGGTGAGCCTCAAAAACAGGAAGGCCAGATTAGAGTTTGCCAAACGACATCTAAAAAGCCTTCACAGTTCTGGAACAACATCCTATGGACAGATGAGACCGACATCAACTTGTACCAGAGTGATGGGAAGAGAAGAGTATGGAGAAGGAAAGGAAACTGCTCATGATCCTAAGCATACCACCTCATCAGTGAAGCATGGTGGTGGTAGTGTCATGGCGTGGGCATGTATGGCTGCCAATGGAACTGCTTCTCTTGTATTTATTGATGATGTGACTGCTGACAAAAGCAGCCGGATGAATTTTGAAGTGTTTCGGCCAATATTATCTGCTCATATTCAGCCAAATGCTTCACAACTCATTGGACGCCGCTTCACAGTGCAGATGGACAATGACCCAAAGCAGACTGCAAAAGCAACCAAAGAGTTTTTTAAAGGG